ACACAGATGAAACCAATGATAGTGACGGGAACTTGGTTAGCAAAGAGGAGAAACAAAGGAAACGATGGGCTGACTACTTCAAAAAACTCCTGAATCGACCACCATCACCACCTGCAACTCGTCCAAAAATACCACCAGCAGCCCAGCCACAGAACTACAAGTGAACACAAACTCTCCGGCAAAAGCAGAAGTGGAGTCCTGGACACCATAAAGTTACTGAGAGCTGGGGGAGAAGTAGATGGAAGTCCGCCAGAAGCACTGAAAATGCGAATAGACATCAGCGGACATGCTCACATCACTATTGCAGAAGGTTTGCAAGGAAAGAAGGAAGGAAGGAAAGGTGCCTGTCTATTGATTGGAAGAAGGGCTACTGTGTCAAACTCTCAAGGTAGGGTGACCTAAGACTTTGCAAGGACAAGAACTGGCACGGAATCATGCTCCTGTCCACACCAGGCAAAATACCAATCCGTATCATCCTGGAGAGACTAAATAGTACTCTGGATTCAAAATTACGACTGGAGCAGGCTGGCTTCAGGAAAAATAAATCAGGTGAGGATCAAATTGCAACGCGACGCATCATCATAGAACAGCATAGAATGGCAACTCTGTCTCAACTTCATTGACTTTGAAAAGGCCTTCGACGGTGTTGACCTGGAAGTAATTTAGCAGGCAGCTGAGTCAACACTACGGTTTTAGTGTCACAAATCTTTATCAACCTCATTCAACAACTATCTGCTATGTGATACTACATGCCAGCCAAGTGATTCACATTGGAAGGCCAAGTGATGCCTGTGGAGTGAAGACAGGAGTAAGACAAGACAAGGCTGCCTACTATCACCGATGATATTCCTGATTTTGGTGGACTGGACTAGACTGGATCATACAAGAAACGGTGAGGAGCGAGAAAATGAGCATACACTATTTGACCGACGAAGAGACTAGAAGATTTGGATTTCGCCGGTGATGATTTATGTTTAATGTCTTGTAGCACGAACTCGAAGATCTACAGGCGAAAACTAACAAGTTGGCAGAAGAGACAGGGTAGAAAAGACGGGACTTCCTTCAGGTGAACGTAGAGAAGACAGAGGTGATGAAGATACCCAACCAACCAAACAACAACAAGAAGGTGCAATCACCATCAACAGGAGAAATCTAAACGAAGTCGTCTCTTTCACCTGTCTAGGCATGGCAGTATCGTCTCAACTACAGGCGACACATGCACAGATGAGGATGTCAAAGCCAGGATCGGAAAGACAGCAAGACAGGCATTCCTGCATTAATCTGGAATCGGTGTGGAGATCTACTGCACTCCACTTCACTCAGCATAAGACATGAACAAGATCCGGATTTTCAACATCAACGTCAAGTCAGTGCTTCTATGTGATGGTTGAGAGACTTGGCGCGTTACGAAAGACATTTCCAACAAACTGCAGGCATACATCAACGGTTGCCACCTACGCTCACTGGATACTGAAGATCAGATGGCCAGAAAGAATGAGCAACAAGGAACTCTGGTCTGGTAACGAACCAATCGCTCAACAAATATGCAATGGAAAGTAGAGATGAACTGAGCATACACTGAGAAGACCGATTGTGGACATCACGCGCCAGGCTGTCAAGCGGAAACTGAATGGGAAACGGCAAGTTGACCATCTGAGGATGACGTTGAGGAGATGGTGTGAGTAAGAAATGAAAGCTTCTGGGTAGTCGTGGAGCCAGGTTGAAAGGACTGCAGAGAAGAGAGTGAAATGCCGACGTGTTACTGAATCCCCATCTTCCACTAGGAACCCAAGGGACTAATAATAATCAGCTTAATTTACCACAGCTAGTTTTCAAGCTCAGTGGCGTATCTTATCTGAGGGACGGTCATGCCTCTTTTTGTCACTATCTTATCACAACTGTATATACCATGTAGTGTGGGTTTGGAATATGAATTTAGTTATACACCGGTGTTTTAGTTTGTGGCTTCCAAGACGCATTTACCACTGCTGATATTGTCCATTTTGTTTATGCCTGATCAACAACTGTGTTCAATTACATAAAGTTTTCTATGTGCATGAACCATTCTGTTCACCATAAATGGATATCGCGATGTCTTCTGAGGAATCATACACGGACATTTAGGCATAATATCAGCTGACCTCCGTCCTTGTGGTCTTGTCTACAAGTTGTACTTTGCACATCTTGTTTGTTTTGCTGCTAGACTAAAACAAGCCCGAAAAATTGCATATTTTGTATTTTACACTCAGAATTACTATATGATATCAATGGCTAAAGAACAAAATGTCATTGTCTAAAAATACTCCGAAGTTTTGGCCATAGGGCAAAGTTAGCTGTAGTTCTACGTTAATTCACCCGAAGTTTTTAAAGATGGAGGTAGAAAATTGCTGATTTAAGTAACGGAGGCGCTAAGTACTGTTTGGGAGTCAGAGGTAGTCTCGTCAAACTGGTTTACTGCACTGATCATTCCAGTCTGTAAGAAGAGAGAGAAGTCTTCTTGTGACAGCTATAGGGGAGTTAGTTTGACTAATCTTGTATCGATGATCCCCGAGTCTGTAATTATCCGACGCCTGAGAATAGCAAACTCGAGGAAACCGGACAGGTTTCAGACCTGAATGAGGATGCATGGATCAGATTATCACCTTTCGACAGGTAGGGGAACAGGCATACTTGCCGGTGACCGACACTTGCCATATTTCTTGACCCCAAGGCAAATCCGAACTCTATTCATTGCAGAGCTGTCGCTCATTGTTTTGGGTGTTACTACCGACTAATGGTTCAGGTGTTTCATCCCTGTTCCACATATCTAGGTTATATAAGGGATAGGGATATATTTGATTGAAGCAAAAGGAAGTTCAATAATAATTATAAGAGTATGATATAGATTCATCTGTGCTGTTGGGATCAGTTTTGAGCTGTCAGTGTATTCAGACTACTTGGTGGTAATGGTTCTCACCGTTGGATTGGGTTACACCATTTTCCTTAGGAAGGCAGATATTGTTGATGAGTGATAGCTGAAATCTAGTGTTTGCTTCCGATCGCTTCTAGACAAATAGTGCATCTAAAGTGACCGGTAGGATTGTTGTTTCAGTTGATCCCCTTTTTCCAAATGTCGAACCAAATTGGATGTCTAGTGGCTTGACAAACGTCAATTCATATAAGCTATATCAAATCTTTGCTGCTGGTGAGTACTAAAGCTTTCAGAAATAATGTACGCCTTGTTTACAATAATTTAATGTAGTGAATGTAGTCCCACCACTCTTCCACTTGTCGCTACACTTTTAAAATTAGGATTTTAGCATTCTAAAAGTTTCCCGTGATTTGGGATACATCTCTACTATTCTTATTCGTCAATTTGTCTCTAGCTGTGGGGAACTAAAGGGTAGCGATTCTTTCACATGAAAAGATGCCACGTGCTATTGTTTATGTTTATGTCTATCAACTGAATTCTCATTGTTTCAAACAGTTACTAGTTTGTCCTATTGGTTCATATAGAATTTGCCGCACCACCATCAATGCTTAGCAGGTACGATTCTGAGTGGTAGCTCAATCATCTTGACTATTACATATCTGACCTGATGAAAATTTCTTCAGTAGTTCCAATATGCGTTGATCAAACATCTTTTTTCATGCGGAGCCCCACTGTCATACAGGTTACAGTAAGCTATTATGACCACCAAAAACAAATCTTATGAAATCTTTTTTGTCATAAATCTAGTTTTGTATAAGCTTTTCTAAACACATTCAAGTCGGTCTGCAATTTAATCTGAGTATACTGTGACTTTGTTGAGTTAAAATTCTTCACGTTTCATTTGAAGGCTATATGAGAAGGGGTATCTTCACTCTACTGCTGACCTGAATCTGGGTCTTTCCAGGCAAACTAATCGTAAACCGTAGTTTGGTGGAGTGTAGAATGGAAAAGATATTATTGAACACTTCTGTGCACTCCTTGCAGACCTCAGGGAAATAAAATATTGCTATTCAGTAATTTTTGCAACTACTGGAGGACGAAATTTCATCACCATTTTAGAAGTCTGTTCGTTACAATCTACTGTTTCAGTAAGTGCTGAAATAAGGGCTTTCAAAGGTGATGTCATTGGTTAAAATGACTATACATTACAATCAAACTAAATAGGTACATGAATTTTGTTGGCAGTCTTACTTCCACTTTGTAGTCACTTAAACAGCACATTTTGTAGATCATGTTTTCAGGCAGCTTATGTAAATAATTTAGATCCCCTGGTATTGATAACCATAACAGCAAAGTGTTTTTCAGCAGTTTTCTCTGCTTCAGTTGTTATCTGGTTCACGATACAACAATCTGATCTTCGTTTCAAATTGTAATGTGCACTAAGATTTATCACAGAGGTCTTCGTAGCATCTGTCGGGTTTAGTGGAATCATCGTGTGAATGCTGAGGTCAGGCGAGGCGTACTAGGCAAGTCGACGGATAAGTTTGTGAGCCATAGTCGGCTGAGATGGCTTGGGCATGTACTGTGTATCCTGAGTCACTGCCTACTTTGACGTGCCATAGTAGGGGAATTTGGATTAGGTTGGAAGACTGTTCAGGGTGGTCAGATGGAGACCTGACAGTAGTTGATGAAGTCTCTTACTATTGGTCAGTCGTGTGACGAGATATAGACTGGCTGGCCGGGGTCCTCTAGAAGAAAGGAAGCAGTGGTTGAGGACTGATGTTTGGTGATGTCTGGAAGTCGGTCACAGTGACAAGTGTATTCACTCCTCAGCGTCTTCTAAAGCTTAAATGTTTGCACTAACCATTATCTTCAGATTATCTATTATCGCACAAAACTGTCTACTTTGATATCACTCTTATTCTGTCTACTTGTTCTTTGTGTACTACTGTGAAGTGTGGCAACTTGGTCTGATGCACATGTGTGGGAGATTCTATATTGACTTTGCCAGTCAGTCCTCAGAATTTATAATATTTCTTTTATAGGTGGAGTAGTTATCTTTTTTCTTATTATGTGAATTACCTTTTAGGTGCTTGGTCTAAGCATTTCCATACAGATTAAGGATTTTCTTACCTTCGACTACGTTGGTTTCGAAGCATTTAACTTAACTACATTCATAACTCAATGGTTGTTGGGAGAATACAAGTAGTATAGTAAGTTGGAAAAATAACTGATTTTTGGTTTGTAGCCTAATAAGGGTCTGTCGACGTGTTTTTTCTTGTGTTCCCAATGAACGTAGCAAGGTTTCTATTTTTGATTCCTGGAATACATATGGGCATACTATAGAAAGTCAACTAGATCTTCGAACCATCCCAACAGTATCAACTATACTAAGTAAGACAGCGCCTCCACAGAGTATAGTTTCACTACGTAAATGGCAGGAAAAGAAAAAAAGTGAGCTCGGTGAAGACGGGTTTCAAGAGTATATACGAGGTAAGTTCTATAGCGCAAACCTTTTTGTTAGGTAGGACTTCAGCTCTTAGGGAAAAGTGTCCACTCCAGCATTGAAGCTCGACTTCTGAAGGGCAAATTCCCTTCCAACTTACCAGAAAATGTTTCCAAATATTGTGAAAGTCTGAAGTACATTTTGGATGGCCTAAAGTCTACTGTGGTAGAGACCAACTGTCTTCATCCTCAGCTTTTGTATCGTGGAAGGTTTGACAGCATAGTTTTTCTGAAGTAAGTTTCGGTTGCATTTGTCTCAAGTTTTGTTACTACATGCAATGACTATACACCATAGGTGTTACTACTGTTTTATTACTGTTGCAAGATATATTCTGCATTTAAGACCAGACGAACCATGAAATTCACAATACATTGGTCTCAGTTTCAAAGCCAAATTCACCAAGAAACGTTTAACTTATTGGCAAATTATTTGTGGACTTCGTAATAGAAAAGCCTTCTACTGGTTTGAAGATACAACGTCAAGGTATTTTTTGAATATGTCTAAAAGATGTAGAGACACTAATCTTGTTGCCTGTCTTATTATTAAGAATTACAACTTAAAGAGCTCAGACATCTGTTGCCGGTGTCGGTCAGTCGGTTAATTCGCTTTGTTTCGGAAGTTACTTTGGGATACGCACCCATGAGTCCTCTGTATATATTTTGGCCCACGTATATTTAAATGCAGTGCGATACAACGTTATCGAACACTATCTAAGGGTTTAGAAGAGTATGTAGGCTTGTTAGTTTCTGTTGACCTGACCCTAGCTGCATAGTACATCTTTCTGGTAGCAGCATAAGTTTTTGCTGGGCGATTATGCTTTGAAAGTTATCAGTGTACGAGAGCCTGGTGAACATCTCTTTCGATGCTTTGATCGCTTTATATCGATTGATAAATTTAGATGGGTGGTTATTCTCGAGTAATATTTCATTCAGCATCCTTGTATTATCCTTCAAATTGTCATCTAAGCATATTCGTACTAGCCTATTCAAAACGCCGTCATTGATTCAAACATCGAATTCTTTCGGTGTGATTGTAAGACTAGTAATTATTTGAAATACATAACAAGTTCGTAAGTGGTTGAGTCTCCTTAGGTGCTGTATGACGTTTGTTCTTTAGTTTTCTAATAATTTTTCAAAGTTAATCACTTGAACATCATCAGTATTTGGTCATAAATGTCTCGAATTATCATGCTTAACTTTCATTTTATGCTGTTCTGTCTAGCTTCAATTTCAACATTAGGTTTCCTCATTTTGTGCTTTGAAATTGTAACACTTCTAATCCCGCTTCGTCAAATTGAGAAAACAAAAGATAACGTAGTGAGTGGAAGGTTTGTTATCACAGCAACTAAATTCAAAGCAAATAGGCAAATAATCAATCATTGTGTCAGGACATAGAAAAATATTCAACAAAGTTATTGTTAAATAAATTAATCCCTCCTATATAGAATGTTGCGACCTTATTTCACTTATTTGTTGAAGTACTCTTTTTCACTTAAAATTTAGAGATATGGATGAGCCTATTTTAACTGAGTGGAAGACAGTACATGAGTCCAAGCGAATAGTAACTATTGATCAAACTTATGATAGTCCATTACAAATTGCAGCATATATTGGGGCTTATAACTTTACACGTTATCCGACATCCTCATTGGTAAGTTTTCACTTCATGAAATACACTGTCTATACGATAAAGATAAATAAAAAGTCAAACTATGATTTTGAAATGCTTATTCATTTAGAGCATTAATTAGATTTAGATATTTTTGTGTTGTCACTTACTTTCTTATTTTGAAGTTGTAGTCTGCTAGGACTGAAGTTTTAAGATCTGCTTAGAGAGTGTATCATGCAGTTGTCTTGTTGGTTAAACAAGTGTTAACATACTAGACATATGGTTTTACAGTATTCTACATCAATATATCTGTACTTATGTAATGCAGAAAAATGTCATCCACTGCATACCATAATGCCTAGGGATTTTCAATGTTACTTGCATTAAAAGCGTTCGTAGTAGTCGCAGTCCAGTAGCTTCATTTTTGATATTTTTACCGTACCGTGTAGGTTTGATATCTTGAAGCAATATTTCCTCTTAAATTCTAATTCTATGCCAACATTCATTCATTCAGTCGGTCAGTTTGCATCAGCATGTGACCTAGCATCACTGCGTAACGGTCTGAGTTGCCACACCTCATATCACCATATCAAGCAATGAAAATACACCAAGATGAAAGATAAAGAAATAAGGAAGAAAGCGATCAAAGGTGGTGGAACATCACGAAAAGAGAGCAAGAAGAAATTCGAGAACACTGAAATTCGGTATGACAATTAAGCTGAAGGCAATCTGTGGATGAATCTACTACACCACTGAAATCGATTCTAAGCCACATCAAATAGAGTCTCTGACCACCGAAATCGGTTGTTGTATGGAGCCCAACCAAGAAGTCTACACCTCCGTACATGTCTCGGACCAACACTCACTGACTTCATGCATTGATGTCGTGGGTTGATCTGGTCACCTCTTGTCGTTCTCCAGCCTGAACCTACTTCATCTAAAATCATGTGACAAAGTGAATCCTAATAAAGTCAAATGAGAAGAAGGAGAGTTCTATTAGCACACTAATAACAACCGTATCATCTTGATAATTTTCTTTCAGATTAAAATTTGTATGCCATTCTCCACCTATACTGTATGTTGCTTCTCAGAAGTATGTTATTTTTGCTAGGATAGTTTGACAAGAAAGTATATATAGGGCTGTAAATCAACGGCATATACACTGAACTGCTAGTCAGCTAGTCGGAGACTCGTATCTTACTCCACTCATGGAGGTATGGTCAGTCAGCTGGTACCATCAATCTTTATATATTAGGTTTAACTATACGTTAGTGTACGAATCTGCATATGGTCGCTGAGTTCTATCAATCAGTCAGTCAAGATCAACATAAGACCAGGTATTACTGAGTAACGGTCCAGATTGCTACAACTCATGTCACCACATCAAGTAACACGGCAATAAAATGGAAGATGAAGGAGAAAAGGAAAACTGGTCAAAAGAAGTGGAAGTAGGAAGTAAAAGGAAGGAAGAAAGAATCAGTAGCTGGTGAGATTAAGTATAGGGGTTAAAATGAGGATAATGCATGCATACATCTGCACCAGTGACATCGATTCTGAGTCATATCATGTAGAGTTTCCAACAACTGGTTTCTGTTGTCCCGTGGACCCCAACCACTCAGTCTGCATTACCCTACGTAGCTCAAACGAACAGTCATGGACTTCATGCATTGATGCTACATTTTAGTCTGGCCGCCCTGCTGAGTTGCATTGATGTTATTTGTCAATTGCATAAATTTCGTTAGGAGTTCCAGTTTGTGCCAGACTAAGTGGTGTGAGAACTCAATGTATGTAACTTGTGCACATGAAGTAAGTCTTTTGAAGGGCACGGCTGGTTTTTATTGTACACTGAATTCATTTTAATGTGTTTGTAAAAAATGAAGATTAAGACATTGCTTCTAACCGTATATAATTAAAAATTCTTTGAGTTTTAGTGCATTAGGAACTATTTGTTAAAGCTAGTCATCCTCTAATCAGGATAAAAGTAGTACACCTTGCAGAGTAGAACATTCATTTCTGCCTATATATCGTTCAGGAGGTAGTTAACTAAAAACGGTTTAGTGTTTTAGTGTGATTGCTTGGTCTTTTCTCTGAGTGCCCGGTTGCTAAGCAAATTATTTGTAACTGTTCGTCCCACATCATGAATAGATAGTTGAGTTGAAGTGATTCATTTTTTCTTACGATGAAAGTTTCCCATCAATGTAATGAACTTCTAAAGATAGGATTTTAACCATAAAATACATAAACTTTCCAAATGGAATATTTAGTTCCGTTTCTTTTTCATTTGGTTCATTGACTCAGACCCAGATTCGAATCCCATTTCTTACTTTGACCTGGGCAACTGAGTAGTATCATAAGCCATCAAATTACAAGTGTGACTCACATGAACTTGTACTGAGTTGATTTAATTAAAAAAATATTGATTATGTTTTTCATGAAGTCGATAACTCACAGGGTGGAGCTTTCTGCAATACATTCTAAGCACCGTAGGGAACAGAAGTGCCTTGTTTCATGTACAAATTAACCTCATCGAATGATATGGAGCTATGGCTCTTTGGTTTAGGGAAGTAACTACCAACTATTGGGTCACGGGTTCGAGCCCCGCTCCACCTACCAAGGTTTGGGCAGCCAGGTAGTATCACTAGCCCTCACACAATAAGTGTGGGTCGTTGCCTACTCCATGAATGTACACAAATTAGCCGCATGGGTTTCGTCTTCGCAACATATGATTCCAAAATTCCTAATTTTACGTTGGTACAGCATTATCCATACGTTTCTAAGTGGTCAAACGTCTTGTTTTGGGCTGATGCCAAATTTGGTGTAGACGCATGTGACTACCGTAATCTACATCATTCATAGTGTGTAGAAATCGATGACGGAAGATAGCTCAGGTGATCACCATATTTGACTGTTAAGGGAAACAGTCAAGTCAAAAAACTCACCACTCTAACTAACTAAATACAACTGATTCATGAACACAGTGTAAAGGTTGTTAAGCATATACAAAGAAAACTCAAGTGTATTGAGATGACACAAGAACTTGTGCTCAGTAAAACGTCTCAAAAGACTTACCACAACTTTGACTTGTGGTAAAGTTACGTAAATCCGAGTTATGGATTTCACACGTAGTGTTATTTTGGTGCTATTAAGATATATTGTTTATCATATTTTGTTCAAAACACGTACATTTTCCTCGGCAATTCGCTAAATTTGTGCAACAAATTTCTGTAAAGCACCTGGAACTAAGCAGGTATGGATTCTGCAATCTCGTCTTTATGATTCTAAAGAACGCTTGCGTATTAAAAAAAAATCGATAAACCAATGCAATTCAACTCGGCATGTTTATTTTCTAGGTTGTAAGCCATACTTATTGTGTGAGGGCTTATGATACCACTTAGTTATCTAGGCCGAGGTAAGTGGGATGGGATACAAACTCGGGATCCGTTGCTTGAAAGTCGAGTATGTAAGCCAATGCGTCAAAGAACCAGTTATCAAAGCTGGTGCATCTAATATATTCATACTTTTTTCGTAAATTGTTACGGACTTTGTAGAAAGTTATTTTGGTGCAGAGTACAAAAGACTGCTATGGAGGATTAAAGGTCGTCGTCATGAGCTATGTTATTTTGGCGATCTGATAATGTTCTTTTCCAAAATTTGACCAGTCTTACAAGAATGGTAAGTTTCCTCAGTGGCACAAATAAAGAAATCTAAAAGCCAGGTTTATTTCTCGTTAGCTTTATATATAAATACGCTTATATGGTATTGTGTATAGCGGAAAGAAGAAGTGTACTCATCAACTATGTGCATTTTCGTGTAGTAGGTAATGAACCCTATCTGTTGTATTGGGGGATAATGACACTGCCTGGCTGTCCAAACCTCTACAGGTGGAGCGTGGTTCAAGCATGTGACCCATTGATTGGAAATTGAGTGCCTGAACCAATGAGCCACAGTTCCACATTGTAGTACTTGTACTTATTCACATGATTATAGTACGGTTAAATGATGGTGACTGCTTTTATGACTGTGGTGTTATTTGTAAACGATATATACAAGTTTTTTGACTGCTTTATAGACATACTGTATGTAGACTTTTGAATGTTACTCACTCTAAAGTGTTATGTTGACAATAAAAGGGAGAGAAGTTGATACACTTACTACTAGAAACTAGAAAGTGACCTACTGTAGTTGTGGAGTAATTTTACTATGTATACGGTTTTAGAGCATTCATCTGCTGTGTCCTGTTTTGTGAACTATGCCTGTAGTTATGTGGACTAGACTGCATCAATCGATCCTTTTCGGTGTATTAGCTCTTAGCATACCTGTATAGTTGTCGCCAGAAGTTTGATTGTAATGTCATTGCAATTTAGGGTGTTTTCCGCCTCATTTGGGACTTGTATCTCAGTAAGTGGCGATATTTGCAATGAAACGTTTGATGATATCAAGGCATCCTTAAAAGAGAATCGATATGCCGACTGAGGTTGATTCATTTGCTGTAGTAATTTTAATAAAATCGTTTTGAATTATTTTAAATCTAATTTAGGTTAAGAAGGGCATGCTGATATATTCATATGGTGACGGCTATCCAGCATCGCGTATCGTTTTGAATGAGACTGACTTGCTACACTATTGGGAACTGTGGTGCGAACGCGTGGAAGCTTATCGAGAACAGGTATGTGCCGTTAAAGTTTAAAAATCTTTACGCATTTAGTTATAACTATGGAAGCTACTTGTCAACATATGACAAGCTACATATGTTAGCGTGAAGGTAAATATAGGTCGAGGCAAAAACGAGTTTTGATTTAATAACACATTATCCTAGTGTACTATCATTTGTAATATTCCCATGCATTCTATAGTCTATGTATTTTAACGGCATTTTTAAACACAGGACGAGCGTGGTTTCATTTGTAAGCATTTTATTATAAAATTAGTTGCTGTTTTTAATAGCATTACTGAAATATAAAGTTCATTTAAATATTTTTTGCATCTAGCTCGGTAACACCTCTAACACTAAGTTGTAAATTCTAACTCTTTAAACTGGAATTGAAGAATGCATTGGAAATGGTGAGTCAGTTAAAGCCAAAGTACTTAGTACCAAATCTAATCTCATGGAATCTTTTTGTCTCAACACTGAACAGTCTTCCTATTGTCCTTTAACGTTTGACAGGCGTAAAGATCGCTTTACAGGGTTTGCAATCCAAATATCTCCTGAAGTCAGTGACCATAAAAAACGGCATGGATTTAGAAGCTTCGCTTGGCTTTCACCAACTCACGCCATTTATGGTGCCACTGTGATATACGATCGTCCACTGAGGGCCGAGTGAACTGCACTCCAGTTCTCTCTGTTCTACAGCAAAGCTGTGGAAAATGACCAGTCGATATGGAAGAAATCAAAAGGCTTCACGTATTCCACCACCATTGGCTTCACAGCATAGGCCACATGTCGTGATGTCATCACGTCAGTAACGCACAAATCAGGTGTAGTGTCAGGCAGAAGAGAAAAGTCAGTTGATGAGGTTGTGAACCGTCACCGACTGAGGTGGCTAGAACTTGTTTTACTCATGCCTAGTCACCATCCACCCAGTTGTGGCATGTTAGGTGAAGTAGGTTCAGGCTGGAGAACGACAAGAGGTGACCAGATCAACCCACGACATCAATGCATGAAGTCAGTGAGTGTTGGTCCGAGACATGTACGGAGGTGTAGACTTCTTGGTTGGGCTCCATACAACAACCGATTTCGGTGGTCAGAGACTCTATTTGATGTGGCTTAGAATCGATTTCAGTGGTGTAGTAGATTCATCCACAGATTGCCTTCAGCTTAATTGTCATACCGAATTTCAGTGTTCTCGAATTTCTTCTTGCTCTCTTTTCGTGATGTTCCACCACCTTTGATCGCTTTCTTCCTTATTTCTTTATCTTTCATCTTGGTGTATTTTCATTGCTTGATATGGTGATATGAGGTGTGGCAACTCAGACCGTTATGCAGTGATTCCAGGTCGCATTTGGATACCATATGTCGGTTTTCTAAGCTTGATCTATTCTCGGTCACCTACATGTTTTTGATGTGAATGCATTTTTCGTCGATTACGTTGAATGTGTTTTAACCACCTCGTAAACGAAACCAAAATGTTTTACACAGAATTTTATAGGCATTATTATTGTTACATTTTTGAAAATAATTTAATGTAATTCATATGAGAAAATCGTGGACACCACTAACTATCAGCTTAACGGAGCCATAATGTACTTAGCTACTGGCACGTCTATTTTTTAGGTATCGTCATCAGCATTCAGTGCCTTTTGGATCACTTTCGGGTGTATGACGCAACAGCGTCTAAGTTGAAGCAGTGTGATTTACTTCTACTTTTACTGACGAACATTCATTTTTCACCTCCCACTGGATTTAATTGTGTCACTGTGTACAATGCGCTATCAATTTAAGTTCCCGTAAAGTTAAAACGTTTTCGATTAGTAAAAGGGCTTGTTCATGATGTGAAATTCGTGTTTATTCAAGATAAATGTTTACATATTTTTTAATCTCTCTAAATGGAATTAGAAACAGATTGTAAAGAAGAATAATCTAAAGGGGTGAGAAAACGATAAATATGTTTTTGTAGACGTAGTGGAAGGGGGGGGGGAATATGAAGTGATTCTGGCAATTTACCGTTCAGTCATACACTGAGGTGGTAATAATGATAATGTGGATAAATGTGTGATTTAATAGGGGATAATGATACATATGCTGCTACTTACTGTTTGTTGTATACTTTGGAATTATGTATTCATCTAGGAATAATAGGATGATTTATGTGGGATGTGAAATGCTGTGTATTTGGCCATGTAATTGGTCTGTTACTACTGCCTAACCAAGAGTTGTGCTTTTTAGGGATGGTATTAAAATGTTCACTGTTATCATTAGCGTTAGGCTGAAGATGGGCGCAGTGTGCTTCAATTTGATTCAATGTGTTTGTTAAGCGCTTCGGTGGACTGTTATTATCATTTGTGTAACTCATTTCTTCATTTAAACTCGTTCTGTCTTTATGCTGTATATTAGGATTTATATTTTCTGCCTGCTGTTCTGTTACATCTCTAGTTGCTTTAGACACAATTGAATTGACTACTACTTGTAATGATAGTTTGTTCGTTTGCGCCTGGCTTTCTTCTGGATTATCATTCTCTGATTTTTCTCTTTTACTTTTCTGTCCAACTGTTTGTTGTTCAGTTCGTAGAACATTGCTAGTTTGTTGACAACTGAGATTATTCTTTGACGAGTCAGTCGGTATTGTATTTTTACTATGAGAAGTATGATCATTTGCTGTTGTTGGACTACGTGAACAGCAAGGTGATGAACATGTTGAATAATACGAATTGAATGTTACATTACGCATGAATATATTTGGTGTTGATGGTTCACTTTTTATGTGTGACTTACTTGAGCTATCATTATTGGTATTATTGTTATAATGAGTAGGAGATTTATTATTAGTATTATTGTCATCGATTGCAAGTACCAAGTTTTTCAGTAGTATTTCTTTCGGACTTTTCTGATGATCTGATAATGCAGATTTTGAGTTCTCTGGTACTGTTAAAACTGGTATTCTGTATTTTAAAGGTTTTATTTCGCATTGTGCATCTACATCTTTAGTTTGGTTTTTATTAGCTGTAAAATCTGCCTCGACGGATGATGATTCAGTTAAGGTTATTTGTTTCTCGTGTCTTTGGGATGTATTTGTTTCTTTTGTAGGCTTCAGTGTAATAATCATGGGTGATGAATTCGTATGTTTCGTCACTGTTGTGGTCGTTGGGGATAGTATTTGGTCACTAAACTTTTCGATGAGATTACAGCTGTTTTTCATACGACTACTACTACTACTACTAGTAGTATTGATATGTTCGCCTACTTTATAAATGTTTGATGATGATGGTGAGATTAGTTTTTTGAAGTTACTGATCGCATGAGGTAGGCGAGGATGATGATGTTTGCGGTGTTGATGGATAGAATTTGAAGTATGTTCATGCTCTGTTGCTTTGTTCATTGCTAGTGGTGGTGATGTGGCTGCTGTCAAGTTATAAATTCCTCTTTCACTTGGGGTGTCAGATTCTTTTAGCATTAACACCGGTAAAGAAGAATACGACGAAGTTGATGATGATGATGATGAGGAGGAGGAGTGGAAAGATGATTGTACAGATGCCTCTAACCCTGATTGATCTTTGTTGTGAGGATTGCGTAGATTGGTTATAAAAGGTTTTTCGTGTGAATAACAATGTCGATAATAATAACGGTAACCTAATCTTGTAACTTTCGGTGAAGTATAGTGAAATCCATTCTTACGTCGACCATTGTATTTAATTCTCATGAAATAACATCCAATCAGTATGATAATCGGTAAACCAAATATACACACCAGTACTAAGCTAAATATCAAGATGTACTTTTTCAGTGTAACTTTAACTTGTTTTATTTCTGCATAAACGTAATTTCTATCTATCTGTTGGTCAGATGGATAATGAAGATTTGTTTGGTTGTTCACCTTGGGAATGATTTCTTGTCGACGTGCTAAACTGTTTATATTAGTTCTCTCACCTGACTGCACACTGTTGTATCCATTGCCTGGATATGAAGAAAGAAAAGTGTTGAAAGCAAAGATGTTGAATAAAAAGACATGGTATCATAATGTTACTGCTTTTCAAGCTGTCTCATTCCTTTAGTGGGTGGAATCAATTACTTAAGATGTCAACCCATTGTTCGTAACAACTTATGTTGCTCGGTTGCAGTATAAGTACATGGAATAAATATGGTTCATAGACCAGTACACAGAGCTTTACCAGGTTGTTTAATTACATTTTCAAACTTTATATCCTACAAGTAAACGTCAGTTAATTACCACCATAAATACAAACCAACTTACCGAGAATCTCGAAACACCGGTTCACAGCATCTTACTCGTCACATGGCTCAGATCAAGGGTTAAAGGCTTCATAGATTAGTGTTATACCTTGATCGAACTACTCCTGGCTCTTCCAACTTAATCCTATTTTGGTTAACACGGTGCGCGAAGTAGGTGGTGACGGAATATGTACAGCGAATATCCATCTTGCCTCATTTGATGCAGGTTCACAGCTTCATCTGCCCTGTTGCTTTTCTTGCCTAGCACTCTACGTCCGACTTAAACATTGTCCACCTTGTGGTTTCATCAAACTCCGGGAAAGCCATGAAGGCTCCCATTATAAAAAATTTACGACTTCCTTGTGTCTACATTTAAAAGATATGCGATACAGCTGTAAAACTGGATCGAGTAGACTACTGTGCAGTTTATCCTTCTCATATATAGTCAGATATCTTTTGGTCAGTAGATGTGAGGTATATTGGAAAATGCCGACGTACTTTTGTGTTTCAGTTGGGATTTCCTGACAATTTAGGGTCTACATACTTTCCATAAGCATGTAACTAAATATGAAAAAAAAATGTTTAGTTCACTCACTTCTTTTTATTTGTTGGTTGATTAATATCTAGTTAATTTTTGACTGTTTCACTCTGACCGGTTTGCCGCTGCTGATACATTGAAGCAACTCTGACACTGGATTGATCATTAACTTTTGTGTAATGTATATGATACATGAAAGGATATTTAAGATGTTTACCTTCAAAAAACCAGCTCTAGCATAAAGCGCACAAGTACTTTAAAGAATATTCATCACTAGTAATACGATTACTTTAAAAACTTCAAGTCAGTGGTCCTAATTCATCAAGTTTATAGACAACTATCTTTTTTCGAATTGTTTTCATTAAACGTTTCTTGTCAGTATTATTCAGTTAATATTTTCTTCAGAACATTGGAATACATTTGAATCAGCAGTTTCCTAGGTCATGCATAAGATGTTGATAAAGTTGTTAAACTGTACTGACTGTTAGGCAATTAACCTATACCTGTTCATAATTTTTACGTGTGTTTGAATGAGAGAGAAACGATAACTCTTATAACATGAACCAGGTTAACTTATTTTCTCAAGGCACTAAGTGCTGGCAACTATGACGCTCAGGATGCTGTGAAGGTGACGTGTTTGTTTGGCAAGTTTCTTTGGAACCTGTTGGGCTTCGTTCTGCATAATTCTCAATATTAGGTGATACATTAGACAGATAAACGATAGTCACTCACAAGAGCTCTGTTTGTAACTTGTCTGTAGGTATTATTTATCTACTGAATAGGGCACCAGTGGTTTCGACTGAAGTCACGTAAAATAAGTAACCTGGACTTACTAAAGTTCCCTAGTTTTTTGATGAGGATCGTAGTTTGTTTTTCAACAGTGGCCAATTGTAATTATTTTGTAACAGTACAGTAAATACCAAGAAATATACCGTGAATAGAATATCCTTGTTATGTATACTTTTAAGGTTCGTAAGTATTCATTTATTTTCCTTAAATTAATACTAACTAGTCAGTATCATATTACCAAATTCTCAGGCTCATGTAATGATGCCTATCCATTTTGTAACACGGTCAGTTAGTCTAAGTCAGTCAATACAAGTAGTAGTAGGTAGTTAGTGGTGGGTGGGGGAAATTTCTGGTTCTAGGTTTTATGTTTGTTTGCACTCATGAACAAGATGTATGTACAATCCTTAGAGAAGTCATGCTTCCTCAGGGATCGTAACTGGTTGCTCTTCTCCAGCCGACCCCAACCACCTAGTCTGCATCGCCCTACATGGCTCAAACCAACAGTCACAGACTTTATGCATTGGTGCCATGTTTTAGTCTGGTCATCTCGGGCTTTTTCCAGCCTAGACCTACTTCGGCCAACATTGTGTGACGAGGCAATCGGTTACTAGGCATAAGTAGTACGTGTCCCAACCCGACCGATAGCTGCTACCTTGACGTGGTGGTCGGGCTTGCATATCACAATGACTCAACGGGCTATGCTGGTGGAGCGCTTGTTACCTCGAGGTCCTATCATACCAGAAAGGTCGGTTGTATAGTAGTTAGGTGAAAAGCAGTTACCGTTGTGGTGTAAATTACTACACTATGATGGGGGTTTGAGGGCGAAGTCATACTGCTGTTAGCTGGATGGGGTGTGATGGCAGTAAGGTGTTTCCCTTGGACGACCAGCAGTGCCATGCTGATGCTGCCTTCTCAGTGGAATGGGTGGGAGGGGGGGTTAGAAAAGGTTGGCCTCCAAAACAACACATTCCACCATACCCCACGGTCTACCGGGCTGGTGGTGTTGGTTCATTTATCGTTTCCTTTTAACCATCCGGCCCCAAAACAAAAGTTCAAAATAATCATACACCCCAGGCTGGGTGTGACAGGCCTCAAGCAGATATCCGATGGGCTCTGCGGTTACACAAATCTCTTTCAGATACCTTAGGAAGAAATAGCCTTCCACGGTGTGGGCAGCTGGGAAGTGTCAACCGTCCTCACAACTATCAGCACTCATATATATATATATATATATATATATATATATATATATATATATATATATATATATATATATATATATATATATGAATTATAGGATAGTTATAAGGGTGATAATAGTGATAAAATCACCCAGGAGTTAATATAATCTGGATATTTGTAATCAATTGAGATTATAGTAAACAAACGTTGTGTTTTTTTCCCATCTAGTGTGGCAGTCCTCCTAATGAAGAATGAAAAGTAGCCTTACATGTGCTCAGTGTCTGCTATTTCATTAGCCATCCTAACAAATCAAATGAACAATATTAAAAGAAAAATTCCATAACCAAGCAACTGAAATATGGCATCAGTTACACTGAACTTGAAAAACATTATCACTCACATAAGATTTTATAAATATATGTATCACCATTAATTGAAAGTTTTTTCATTAATTTTCTGCTGTTGGTTTTGATAAGTTGTTGGTTAATTTGTGTTTCGTATGCTGAAGTTGTTGCTTATTGAGTGCGATAATCAGGTTTCATCTATTTAGTCCGAGAGTAGAATTCCGCTTTATCTACCAGAGTTTGGATAGTTGGACAATGTGGCAAACTCATTCAATGGTAAATTTGTCTTACATCCTACTGCATAAGTGTGCTTGCAGTTGCTGAGTTTTTTCTGTATTTTTCTGTGTTCTGTATGCTTATATCCTGAAGTAAAAAATGTCATCATGAACCCTTTTTACTGCAATTTGAAGTCTCAACTAAATCCTCTGTGTTCTCTGAGCATCATTCGTCCTGAATAACTGTACTTATTTTCTGCCTAAGAAGTGAAAGTGCAGCCAATACTTTGCAGATGGATAAACGGTATGAAACATGATTCAGTGACAGATGGCATTGCAAAAAACTATACAAATAGATAAAATACTGATAAAGAACACAGAAAATATGCACATTTTCACAAAGAAACCCTACAACCAATGACAAGCACGATAACAGCTGGAGATGACTTTGGGTCTCGTCAATCGGAATCAAGAATATTAAGAACTAAGTAGTTACTAAGGGTAATGATACTTTATTTACAGTTTATTAATCTGTTTTGTTTGAGAAGTAAAGATATCCAGATTTTAAATAGGTTTGTCATTTTTGAAACCATACCACTGTCTGCAATTCAGCCAATCCATATGAGACAATATCGTTTAAATGATGATTGGGAGATTTCACGTTGTGATCCCCTTTACAGGTCTTAAGAATTTTCAAACACAACTCTATATATTTTCAGAGTGTTTTGTGTGCACTCCAGTTGTTCGACCAACGAATTACTTTTTGTGAACAATAGCTTGATGGGGATAATTTGTTTTAGATAAAAGGATATATGACTTCCAAGCGTCTGTGTATATTGTGATACCCAATGCCATGTATTTTCGCAAAACTGGTAGGGTAGATTTTTCTGATCTATTCTTTATCCACTGAAAATGTTCTTCGTATGTCGGTCGTATGTACAAAGAATCTGTGGTTTGCCAGGACAAATATGTGTGTACATACATTGGATAAATTACAAGTTACCCAGTCCTGCTTAAGTCATCTTCCTATGTTATATTCAAGTTTCCGAACAAGATATTCATGTATTTCAACCACATTACCTTCTCTAACGAATTTCACATCCAGCCTGCAACGTAATCTTCGTCATAATTCATCAAATGTTTATGAGGCATCAACAACACGGTAAAATGGGCGCAGCGAATAGCTTGAATAAATCATCTCCAACCTGATTGGTTGTCCTCAAGATTTCCCCTCACTAAAGTTTAGTCGAACCACATTTTCACACAAAACACTATAACCCTTGGGGATGACTATGAGCATCACTCTTCATAAAGCCCTAGTATTTCTAATACACTTCAGCTGTCAAGCAGGTACAATATTTTAAAATTAGGGGGACGGTATTAATGCAGTCTCCAAAATAAGCGGATCGGTTAGCGCACTCACTGTTCTTAAAATGGTTGTCGACTTAAATCGCGCTGGTGTTAATGGAAAAATAAGTAAGTGGTTTATAGGGAAATAACCAGTTTAAAAGTACTGCTGTTTATCTCAAAATAACATTAATTAGATAACCAGAGACTGTAAGTGTATTGTTCTTCCATTATTTCATTTGCAGTGGAAACCATATTATTATTAGCAAGTGTGTTCTCATTAACGCATGTACACTTGGTCAGTGAAGAGGATACTTGTAATTGAATCGACAGTGTAATTATTGTAGAACATGTTAATAGTTTGCTGCAAAGTTGATTTTATTCACTATGAAGACTAGAAATAAGGTTTATTTTCTAGTGGGAAGAATAAGGGAAATGATCGACCACTTTTCGAAGACAGTCCTTTAACTTCCATATTGTAAAAACTACTTAAGAAGGGTTGGTAGTATCAGTGTTATGTGTCAAACCACTTGGCTTAGCGCATAACACTGCAAACTTAATCGATAGAATTTTACCGGGACTAAAGACTTGACACAACTACCTTGGTTACCGTTCACTGGTCAACTCGTGCACCTGATCCACACTTACAGGGCAACAGTCTCGATTTGAATGGCTCACTGCAAAGTTTTTTGACTTCGCCTAGAAAACGTTAGTTTCCACACGACTGCGTGTACACTTTGATAGTTACCGAAAAATAAGTAGCGTAGGTTAAGCGCTAGCTGGTTGACTTTTAGTATCTCACAGCGATTTAATTTTCTATCGCAGTGGCAATTAAATTTCCCATATTTTTCGGTATATATAAACTGATCCTACCATATTGTGGAGTTATAGCAGGGCAAAGAAATGACGTAGTTGTTTGTTGACAACACAGAGATTAATTCATCATGTTACCCGCATTTTTTCAGATACAAGTAAATAGGGCTTAGATTGACACAGACAGACATCTAAAGTTGTTTTATAGCCGTCATACGGTAGGTGTGCATTAGACTATGAAATTTGAACCAATGGATCACAAGTTTGAGCACTGATCGACCCGCCAATATTTAAATGTAAGTTCGAAAATTCCTTACAAGAAACTGTAGGTGGTTACTGATTGGCGAACAGATGCATATAGAAACAAAATATATGAAACCATAGTCCGTAGTCTATATTTTGTTCAGCTTCCTTTGTTTTTTTACTATAAAATAGTTCCGGATAACAGACTAATGCAGTGCATAGCTGTAAATTTTCACTGACAATTGCTAAAGGGCTCCAAAAAGTGCATCGATGATGGACATCTTTTTTGATGAAATATACGAACGATGTCTGAAACTTTCTCTCCAGTAGGATTAAAACCCTACTGCTTAGTATTATAGGCAGTCATAATTGATAAGGAATCCCAGTCAGTTCATCTTCGCCCCCAAAACTGTTCAACCTGGCAATATGTGAATTTACTCATGGATGTTCTTTATTGATCTGGTCTCTTATGGGCTTCTTACACATCATAGTTGTCAATTTACATCACTGTAGTTGGTTACTTGAGTTGTGAAAGGAACCAAAATTTGAAGTAATGTAGATTTATGTATTTTATTTGTTAACAGCTTTCTTGCTGGAAACCTTAGACTAATATGACAGTTCTCAGCAGCGCTATCTAAACAGTAATTCTTATAGCAACTATTATGGTTAGTGTAACTAAGCCACCGTATACAGGGTTTTGGGTTAGTCTATAAACCATACCTGTTATGTGAAAGCCAAGTATATCCTCTGGCTTCTTGAACTTAGACGGGTAAATGAGGGGTTTTGGATTTATGATCCGTTGGTTGTAAGCTGATTGCCTAAGCCTCTGAACCAAACCTTATTTCGTTTAGACTGTGATGACAGTGTTCATATTACTTACGATAACTATTCTTGAAGTAAGTTATGGGAAAGAAATAGGTGAAGCTGCAAACTTGAGTATAGTCAAAATCAAAGGAAGATTGTCAAGCACATAAAAAGTCATCACAAGGAGATCCATCAGCCAATACCAACATTGGAGTTAAAGGTTACTGCTTTGTGGTCAAAGCCATCACCTCCCCAGAAAATCGTCGAACCATACCAAAGTTTTAATTTGTAAGATGGTTTGTGAAAAGGTGTGGTCAACACAGATTTACATATATCCAAAATAATACGTCAGTTATTACGCCAGACAATTAGAAGTTCCCATTTCACATATTAAAAGTCAAAAATGAATGAAGAATATTCTTTTCAATAACTTCTTATTAGGTTCTACAGTTATAAAATCAATTTCATTAGCATATTTATAGCCAGGATTTACGGTGAATGCATTTCGGTTAAGAATGGGTATAGGATAATAATTTAAATTTGATTCTTTAAGTTTGTGGCTGTTAGTGTAACTTGTATATGTATATCAATTGTGGTAATAAGTTGAGTGTGAACTTTGTCAATTGATTGGTGATCAGATATATGGGGGAGGAAAATTAATTATGAAGTTCAAGGTTGCATTGTGTCAAGTGAGTGATGAGTACAAAGACTGACATGAGTTTTCCCGAAGGGCAGAAATGGAGTGGATATGTCATCATAAGATGGTTAATGTGTGGAACGACTAAGATAATGAGAGTAATAATAATGTGAAAAAATTTCTTAACAGGAATTTTAAAGATTTATTATAATAAGGCGGGAGGAAAGTTTGGTTAATAATAGCACTAATGATAATGATAATATAGTTTTTATTTTAAAAAGAAAGAAAAGAAGAGAATGAAGAAAGGAGAAACGAAACTGAAAGATTAAGGAGGAAATAAAAGGGTTGAGGAAATATCGTTTAGTCAGCGGATGGCTAAGGGAGGAGTGGGGCTTAGACGTGTTCTTTTTGAATACAAAGTTCAGACTAAATGCCGTAAATACCGTAAATTCTGGCTATTAATATGTTAACGAAATTGATTTTATAACTGTAGAACCTGATGAGAAGTTATTACAAGGAATATTCTTCGTTCATATTTGACTTTCAATTATTGCTTTAATTGAGTAACAATAAACTGAAATTTATGTCGACTTACATAATTCACAGCACTTATCCTTTGGTGGAGGGGATATTTGTCTTAGATTTTCAATTGACTCCAAGGTTTGTTCACACGGTGGACAATGATCTGTACAAACCCATCTATTGTCTTTAGCACAAATGCACAGTAGGCTGCGACATGAACGAATCAATAAGAGACGAGATCCTGAAGGAAAGACATTTGGATACTGAACAATATTTTCATTATCGATCAATGATGAACAGCCATTATTGAATGATAGTGATAGCTTCTCTAGATTACTTTCATTTTTTGTAAGTATCGTTACAATTTTGTTTTCTGACTTCAGTGCATCAATGTTTGATAAGGTTTTTCCCATATTTGATTCATCATTCATTTGTTTATCTTGTATGTAATTGTATGATTTAGCCTGATCTAAACGTTGATAGATTGGACGAAGAGGTGGCAGTTTTTAAAACAAAGACAATTTTGTATCAGTAACGGTTTATAAAGCAAACAAGGATTCAGAATCATTTTTACTAGTTCAGCTTCTTGTAAATAGCTATAACAGTTTGCATCTGAAATTTCACCGCATCTAATTCAATTCAGTTGATTGAGCAGTGTTAGTCTAAATGTTATGTGCCGAAAATTGTTTATAGGTAAATTTAAAATTAATGGGTTGTGTTAACATTTTATAGAGCTTTTATAAAGCCTTCAGCATTTTCACAACTGTTTCATTTTGAATTTTATGTTTCTAATGATGCTGTTTCTTTGAAAAGCTTGCGCTAAACTATAGTCTCATTGATCTAATGAAATGCATAAATTTACCGACTTCCTTCAAATATAGTAGAGCCAAATGATTTTGATTGTAATTAGTTACCTTATGCTACTTCGTTATTAATAGGAATACTGGCTCAATGTTTCCTAGAGACTATGCACAACAGTGGGATACTCAGGACAGTCATGTTATACACTATGAATTCTGCAACAAAATGTTATGAGAGTATAAAATGTATGTGGCTAGATAACAACAGAATTGTGGTATTCTTTGATTTGTGTTATGGTATCCGTGGAATTCATGCCTGTGAACATCAGGTGATTGCTATAATTTCGAAATCTTGAATAAAGACAACCAAATGGGATTTCAGTAAGTTCTATGACCAAGTTAATCAGCAGTCTTTAGACATATTTATCTGCAGTCATTCTGTAAGCCAATAGGAAGAAAACTACGGAGCCGAACGGTCACAGTCTAACTCCACAAAGCACTCAGGGAGAACGTGTGTTTAAAATGGGTCAATCAAACTATCGTGTTACTTTTTCGTTCCCAATTTTATCTGGAGAGACCAGTGGACCATTCGTGAAAAATCTTAAAATATATGTCTTTTTTGAGGCGTGCAAAGAGTATGCTGTTCGATAAGACGATGAAAGTTTGCTGTTAAATCATCTAAGTTATAATATACAACACCATAACTATCCATAAGATTGTTTATCATCTGGAAATATCTATTTTGTATTTGGTGCATTACTACTGGGAAATATCATCGAGAGTTTAGGCACAGTGAAACTGTTACTACACCATTGAGATCCAATTTTACTTTGAGTGAAATGCTTCGCATAATATTCCTAGTCATTTTACGGTGTATCGAGAATATTCCGGATTGTGTTTGATAATGGGTAGGGGTAAAGTTAATAGCACAACCTTCCTCCTTATAATCTGCTTAGCGGCTACCAATGGAATCCAGGACGTGCGTTTTGTCCTATTTGAGACCCATTGGCTGGATGCACCACCACCCCGATGAGTGATGTTGCTCCCACTAGGACCGGAAACCAGTACCCATCGCTTCAAGCTCCAAAGTGTTGCTCACTAGGGCACGACAACCACCTCTTGTGCAACTGGTATCAGTTTTTATTGGTTCATACTTGTAATTTTCCGTTGCTATACTGGGTTGAGCTGCTCGACCTCTGTTGGGAGATGGACTGCTATGTGGATACCTCGATACTGCCCGGTTGCCTATTATATTGTAATCTGCTTGGTGGCTAGCAGTGGAATCCAGGACAATTATGACAGAGGTATCAAGCATCAAGTTTTCTCCTGTTTGAAACTCGTCATCTGGATGTTTCTATATCGTGCTACTGGTCCTATAAAGAACTAAACTGTATATACGTCAATGCATACTTGAGTATTGCTCACTAGACACTTGTAGTTGTTAAATCCTTGAATTTGCTGCATAGAACTGCACACTTCCTACGAATGATGACCTTAAATAAAATACTCAGATGTAGGATAACGGCTGTTTGAAATAAGATTAGTTTTTTTACGGTGTATGATCCTACTTATCAATACTGAGTACTAAGTGAATGATTTATATCCTGCATCCTGTATTCAGCATAGCCTATTATACAAAAATGCCCCTACTTATAATCGGGGATACTAATCAGTTTGATGGGTGTTTACTGATCTTGAAAATGTTGAGGATAACGAGAATATGTTAACAAGTGTTTTGTGAAATATGACCACCTAAATATGATGACCTTGAAAGATGTTATCGTAGCAAGTTTGGTTGGTAAAAGTGTATTTATATGTGAGTTTCTAGAATTGTTTTAAGATACACAAAGGGGTGCTTATATAGCTCACAGAAACGACCTTGGAAGTAAGAAAGTAAACTCAACGAGTTAAGTGCTCTGCAATTTACTTACAACACTAGCGATTTTTTATGAGGAGAAACATACCAAGATCGAAAAACCAAGAACACGTTTAATTTTCTAACACTTGAAATTCAGTAAAACTGCAGAATTCCACTTTTTGTCATTTGGGTGAAGAGAATTCGTTACAATAATTTACTTCTCATTACAACGACCATTCGACTTGACGATTAGTGGATTTAATTATGAACAATTCATATTCGACAACTGGCTCAGGACTGAACTATTTACAAAACTTTTCTGGGAATACTGATCAAGCGTACGAGATTGACTTGCTGCGAATTAGATTCTCGAGTAGCTCCATGGTTTGTGGCGTTAGTGAAGTTGAGTTTTAGATAATGACTGCGTGAACTCAATGAAGTGGCCGAAAAGTAACCTAGTTGCTTGTATATACAGAGTTTGTGGGTTCGATTGCCTATGACAATGAATATGCAGTGGTGAGAAGTTACAACATATCCAACAACAAATTGTAGACCCTGAATTGTTTTACAGTTTGTTTCTGTTCATGAAAACTAGTTTCCGATCTATATACCCTTTTTTGAAAAGCGACCCAATGATTGGTAATTGATCAGGAAATTCGGTTTCATTTGTTATCGAACTGACAATTTCACTTCTTCGCTCCAATAAATATTCTCTTTAAACAGAGTTTAGTAGTATGTCTCTTTTTTAATAAGGATTTACAAAATTAGTATATTCTTTCCAAGTACTCTCCTTTCACTAGTGAATAGATAGGTTGGGTAGAAGCAACATATCTTCTGATGTGGAGATAGTTTCACTTATCTGATATATTTAAACCGATGACTAATTGTAAAAACAAGTATATACGCACATTAATTAGAAGTTGTTTATTTGAAACTCTGTTTTGAGATTGCTGTTCATAATAATTACAATTTGGTATTCATAATAAGCAAAATGTGGAAAACTCACACATAGCTTGAGATTTGTTAAAGATTGGTTTAAGTTGGCATTCGTCATGGACTGACATCAGTTTAAGAAACACTGGAAACATAGGAGCACTGGACAGCTATTTTGTCCTAGTATGGGACTTGTCAGAAGTACGCACTCATAACCCCACTAGGGATCAAACCCAGGACCTTCAATTTCCCTAGCCAGCAAGTTACCATTGGTCCATTGGGTCATAACTCAATGGTTCATATTTCCTGCGTGTGCCATTTCATGATATAGCGCGACCTCCATCCAATGCCGTTGTTTAGTGACTGCCCTAATTTCCGACTTGGTTGACCCCACCGGTCACTACTTCTCATTTCAACTTTGGGAATCACCCCTCAAATCGAGTTGCCAGGACCTGAAGGTCCTGGGTTCGATCCCTGGCAGGATCATGGCGCGCACTGCTGAGCAGTCCCATAATAGGACGAAACAGATGTTCAGTACCCCACGTTTCCAGTGTTTTTCTAACTGATGTCAGTTCATGATGAACACCAACCTGAAATCAATCAGTAAATCCCTCCAAACTGAAGAATTGGTTTACTGAATTTAATATAAATACAGTCCACTTATTCAACTGTTAATAAATAAATTAACAAGCACATACCTTTTTCAGATGGTAGACCACAGTATGAAGGACAACATTCATCTTCACTTGTCATTGGGATTTGTTCAGATGGGCATAGGAATAATTGTTGACATGTTTGACGTTTACAACGATATGTTTGATTAGCTTCACAGATGCATTCTGTACAATGATCTCCGTTTGGAATCCATCGTGTTCCAACAGGGTGATAGGAGATTTCTTGTCCATTCATATAAAAACAGTCATCTTCATGCCAGATAAGGCGACCTATGCTTTTTGTTCAGTGAGAAATTAGTGAAAAAATACAGTTTTATTAAGTTGTTTAATCAGTTGTTTTATATCATTTAAATATTTCAGATAAGTACCGAAATGTCTTATTTCTTCGTATGCTAAACACGGTGCTTAGCAGCGTAAAAGTGAACTTTTAGCCTTTAAAACTGATTGTTATGAGGGAAAAGCTGTGAATCTAATTAGTCTCAGTATCAAATTTAACTTTATTTGTGTTGAACAATACTATCTGTAACGGTTTTCTGTTTAGGGCGATTATCTTTGGTCTTCTTTGTATGAATTTAATGTTGTGCAATTTTTAACTCCTGATCTTTTTTTATGTGGTCATTCAGCTTGAAGAAATCAATGATTTTAGGCTTTCTGTCAAGACCACTGGGTTCACACATGAGAAGAAAATGGTTTATACAGCTTAGAGTAATTGAAAAAGCAGAGATGTGTAGCAACGTTGAATATTGCATCTAAGCTACAGAGATCCTTAGAAAAAGATGAGACTTATTTCACAACAAATTTGGAAGGATAACAAAAGAACAAATATTTTTATGGTTACTGTATGTGATTATTAAATGCCGGATTTAGTAATAATGAGCTGACTGTTCCCACCTTGGTCCGTAAGGAAGTAATTGAAATATCAACCTGCATAACAAATCATCAAGAACACTTGACCGAGTGACGGAGTTTACTTCTAAATTTGGTATTATAAACGACGTTCATGAAGCTTATGAAGTCTGGAGGGCAGTCATACTTATTTAGTCGATCAAAACTGAATTGGCATCTGGAATTATTAGGTGATGCTTTGAGTTGCCACACCTCATATCACCATATCAAGCAATGAAAATACACCAAGATGAAAGATAAAGAAATAAGGAAGAAAGCGATCAAAGGTGGTGGAACATCACGAAAAGAGAGCAAGAAGAAATTCGAGAACACTGAAATTCGGTATGACAATTAAGCTGAAGGCAATCTGTGGATGAATCTACTACACCACTGAAATCGATTCTAAGCCACATCAAATAGAGTCTCTGACCACCGAAATCGGTTGTTGTATGGAGCCCAACCAAGAAGTCTACACCTCCGTACATGTCTCGGACCAACACTCACTGACTTCATGCACTGATGTCGTGGGTTGATCTGGTCACCTCTTGTCGTTCTCCAGCCTGAACCTACTTCACCTAACATGCCACAACTGGGTGGATGGTGACTAGGCATGAGTAAAACAAGTTCTAGCCACCTCAGTCGGTGACGGTTCACAACCTCATCAACTGACTTTTCTCTTCTGCCTGACACTACACCTGATTTGTGCGTTACTGACGTGATGACATCACGACATGTGGCCTATGCTGTGAAGCCAATGGTGGTGGAATACGTGAAGCCTTTTGATTTCTTCCATATCGACTGGTCATTTTCCACAGCTTTGCTGTAGAACAGAGAGAACTGGAGTGCAGTTCACTCGGCCCTCAGTGGACGATCGTATATCACAGTGGCACTATAAATGGCGTGAGTTGGCGAAAGCCAAGCGAGGCTTTAGTATGTATGTTGGCTTTTTTGTGGGTGACAGATGCAAAATGGATGATTCAATTTCCCAGGTGATTGATGTGGCAAAAGCGTTCAAATAATTCATGGCTCATTGTTAAACGAGACGCGAATGCGAACCACTCTTTTAGCAGCAATTCATATTTAGGTGATGAGAATTGCACCCGAAACCTCAAATTAACACTCAAGGTATCCAGGAATCTCTGTATGCTGTTAGCATTTTCATTTGACAGGACCATGCTATCTGCATGTTCTGCTTAGTCTAGTAAGGAGTCTTCTGTCATTAGATCAGACAACTAGAGCGAGATCTTTATAAGTTGGTCTGTGATAAAGTTGAGCAAGAATGGGGAAGATGTATATGTTTGACGTACACCAACCATTCCTCGTACACAACTCACCTAATAATTCTTCATAGACTCTGACCTAATGAATTTTCGAATACAGTACTTTCAACAGATTGATATGCTTATCTGGCGTCTGTCTCAGTGAGAGACACTGCTATAAGACTTCTCAATCGATAGAGTTAAATGCTGCCTTTATGTCGGGAAATGCGGTTAATGTTGGACGCCATCAAGTGTGTCTGTGTTCCGGAACCTCACGGAGAGTAGATATTTGCTTGATACGCTCACAGGCAGATCTGAAGCCTGCCTGGTTTTCTCACGTTTGCTGTTCCCAAGCTGCACTCTGACGTCTAATGATCATAGAACCTAGAATCCTGTGGTTATTACAGGAGGGTTGTTTTTCCTTCTTGAAGACTAGGTTAATCAGTGGTTAGTACCAGTCATAAGGAATCTATCTAATTCTTAAAAATTAAGTTACAATTCAGTTAACTTGACCAGTTATTCTCTATCACCTTCATTCGATACCTCTGGTATTAGTCTGTCTGATCTGTCCTTCATAGTTTCAGGTTACTTACAGGCTTTTTATCGTGTGCAAGTGTTGGATTGCCTGTCTCTGCTTTTTTTCAGGATCTGATTGCAGGCATTGGGATAGTATTTGCAGGCTATATATACTGTTCCTCATAGCGTTCCGCTCATCGCTCCGGTCATCTCTGCAACGGGATCATAGACAAATCCTTCTAGCTGTAGTTTTAATAACCACCGATGTTTTATTTCCAGTTTCCTTGATAAGTTTAAGTAGTTGTCCGCTGTTTCATATTGCCGCTGCCTATTCTATCTCCCTAGCTTTTGTTACACACCACTCGTCGCAGTCAGTGCCTAAACTTTTTGTCAGTTTACACTTGAGTTCCTTCTGCTCCTCGTTGTGGTCGGAGCCAGTTGGAATGCGTGTAACCATTAATTTAGAAGCAGATTCTGAGATCCAACCGTCTCTAATGTTTTTCTGAGGGTTAGTGTTGGTTTTTAACGTTTTTGTATAGCAGACTGGAGATGGAACCAGGCTTCTTCCAGATGAGTGACGTTGACCTGTTTCAATAACTGTTTAACCAGTTGCTTAGTGAAAAAAACCTTACTTTTCTCATCGTAGAACTGCACTTGCAGTGTTTTTGTTGTTTTGATCTTTTGTTCCATTCCAGCGCAGGTAAAAATGCGTGAACGAGCCAAAGTATTAGTGGATAACAACTCTTGGTTAGATTTAGGAATTTACAATGGTAATGAGTGAATAAGAAATTACTAAATGATTATTATTACTATTCTTTACTGATAGATGTGCATAATTATTATTATTTAAATGTGTATGTGCAGCTCCTAAGAATGATATCGTGCAAAATAAATTCATTCGTTGAGTTTTTTATCACTTGGTGATCACAGTATCCTTGATGGTTGTTAGTTTAATAGTCTTATTCTGTTCACTTTCTTCTAATTTATAAACTATTTAGTAATGGAAGCAATAAAGAAACTCAATAGAGGATTATGACCACGGCAAAATATCAGTTTATCTGCTCTTATGTAGCTGGTTATGTAGGCCCTGCAAATCGCAGTCTTTCCAAAAGCATCACCGAGAACTATTCTTCACAGCTGTTTAGAATAAAATGCAAGTCAAGCAACAGTTCGATCTTGGATCATTTGGTCAACTCTGATCTTGTCGTTTCCCCACAGTCTTCTTTCAAAATTCTATACAAAGTCAAGCGGAAGGGCTGGAAGCGGGCACCACTTATGTATCGCAGAGGCGTTGGCAATCCAGCATTTAAAGCCTGAGCTCTTCGTGTAGTAGGGGTACATCCATTCTTTTATTTTGTCATGGTTATAATCTTTTCTTGAGTTTCTTTATTGCTTTGATATTCATCTTACTGTTGTTGATTGGTTATCATTACTTTTTATTTTTTAAAATAAGTGGTTTGTTGTTAATTGGTTTATGCGCATTAATAAATAAAGGCGGTTTCAAACCAGATTCAACGCTTATAATTTAATATTGATGAATCAAAATACTGTTAAAAGCCTTTCAACACGGTCAAAAATCTACCTTATTAGAGTTTTCTCAACCAACAAGTGGGGACACCACTTCTTTTATGGTCTTTAGTAATTCACTGTCTTATTGTTAGTGTTTTATTATTGCCAAAAGTTTGTTTCATTTGACTGATTACTGAACAGTAAAAAAAGGAACTTTTCCTCTCTAAGCCTAAAACTACCTAATCATAAAAATCGATTGTATACACGGTTATCGCTTTTATTGAAATATAACATTTTTCTGAACCTAAGATTTCTTTTCCTTCGCTTTTTTCTATGGGGGTAGTTATATCTTATTTGGCATGTTTCAACTGCCAGTTTCCGGTATGCTTTTATGTGGCGCGACTAACACTACTTAGGGGTCATTACTTTGTGCAAATAAATGTAGAAATTATCCCAATAAATGAAGAGATTAGTTAGGATCACGCTCAAAATTACTTATCAACAGACTGTTTGATCGAAATAATGCTTACTAATGGCACTTACTGGATACCGGTAGTGCATGTATGCTTAATATCCGTTTAGGTTGAAGTATTTTTTTGTACTTTGGAATAGCACTTTTATTTTATTTGTTTATTTCCTAACCTGAACAAGATACTGAATTCCATAGCCATTAGTCAATTCACGGCTTTCTGGGTTTTATTCAATTCCTGAATGTTTAGTTGAATATGTATCTAAGCAGGAACGTGAATTGTTAAAGTTTATTCACCTATCTTCAAGGAATAATTAGAGGTAAGATGATAATTTATCATTCATTGTTGAAATAACTTCCTAAACTTTAGATGAATATTTACAAGTTATCTCACTGTTCGGAGTTCAGTTTATCGATTTTTCCATATAATCACTCTGTTGAACGAAGGTGCTCAATCATGGTACATGACAGTAACTGATTTATCTGATGGTATACTTCTAATCTTTACTTGTTCATCTTACTAATACAGTGTTTTTGAAAGGTTTTTGAATCATTATGATAGACAAAGTTACAATAAAACTTGAGTTACAGCAGGATTTGGACTCCTGGCGGTTGTTAGAAGTTTTGGAGCAGAAGTAAATAGTCACTTTCCTATTCAACATTTTTCATATTTATATGAAATCCTAGTCAAGGTTTAACCAGGTACTTTCAAAAATATTGGGCACCGAGTGAGAAGTTATTTCTGGAAAAATCTCAGCGTGTTTGAAATAAAGAATTCCGTTTTGCACGAAAGTCTGGTTCGAGCTTCTTCAGGGAAATGATCAAAATCTAGAGTATCACAGATATATATAACACGTCGTAAATCATCTAGTTCATCGCATTGTCCAATGTTGTCTTGATTACGGTTGGACAGTGCGATGGACTAGACGATTTTTGACGTGTTATATATATATATATATATATATATATATATATATATATCTGTGATACTCTAGATTTTGATTATTTTCCTGAAGAAGCTCAAACCAGACTTTCGTACGAAACGCTGTGATATTTTTTTTTCAAACACTCTGAGATTTGTTTGGATATAACTTATGTCTAATGTTTTTAACATTTATTTCATAAATTTGAATTTTTATGACGAATTAGGGGCGCACATGATGAGTATTCTCTTTACCGTCAGATTTTCTCTTTCTTTTGATTAATTACTTAAAATCAGCATAACTTGAAGAGTCTTTGAAGACTTGACAATAGTAGGTAATTGAGATGTCTAACTGAAGAATTAAAAATCTTAAGGTGGGCTTGTTTGCATTACATTATTGAGACTTGTAGTCTATATTTCCCATCTTCATTGTCTCGCTGATATGTTGCGCACAACGTATACTGCCTTCAGCTAATTACAACTCGATTCATTTTACAGATGACAACTTCGTGTTGACACATTTATAATTGACCAAAAATTTGCATTTCGAAAAAAAATATAAAAAGACTGAATATTTTAAAATCATTTCACCTGGCCGTGGACAATAAATGCTAGCACTAAGACAAAAACAATGTCCTTGTTTCAAAACTATCTGTTGACCTGGTTGAATTGTTATTGCCTCGGTATTTACTGTACTGTTGGTGATTGAAGTTTGACTATCCACAGCTTCTTCTTCTCGTTGATTATCTGAGAGTTCTGACCATTCTAGTGATTCTTGTTCAAGTCTTCGGAATGAATTTACATTGCTTCCGTCATTTGGATCAGATAACCAGTTTTTCTTATCAACGTTCACTGTGCATATTTGATCACCTTAAAAAGAGGAAGTTGATAAATTCATATGACTCGATTATGATTTTTTCAGGTTGCAGAAATTTATCAGTAAATACCAGTATTAAAGAAGTATACAATTTAGGATGATCACTTTGTAAATTGAACAGTCCACGTTGGAATTTCTTACAGCTGAGTAGTTTTTCAACTGCTTAATTGTGCTGTCAGCAAAGTCTCCGTTGGAAACCGGCCGTTAGCCAAGATCACAGGGTGTGATCTGTGACACAAATGTCATAAACTAGCGAAAGATACTAATATTGAACAACTGAGCATTTAGAAACCACTCAGGCTGGTCTGAATATTTCAGTAGTAGCTTCTTTCACTAGTTCATAATAACTTTGTGTCAGAGATCACATCTTGTGATGTTGGTTGGGTGGCTTCCAGCAAAGACCTTGTTGACACCTTTGTTAGGCAGTTACAAAATCACTAAGTCATAAGACATGTCAACGTGGACCGTGCAATTTGTAAATCATTTACAAATTGATCATCTTATTCAAGGTGTGGTATACCGGTCTATATAAGTCAGCCAGCTAGACTCAAGTGATTTGAACTAATTCTGCTGTATGAACTGAATTTGTCCGGGTATACCATTGATGAGTTCAGCTCCAAAAGAGCGGAGTGGTAGTCCGATTTTTAGATCACTCTGATCTGGCAAGCGAAACTTACAGTTCATCCTGAGTGGTTTCCAGTTACTCAAGTTGTTCACTAGTAATATCCTTCACAAGTGTTAAGTCTGTGTAAAGCGTATTCTTTGTAACTTTCATGAATAAGGAGGATTATACAAAAAGATACGTATTATGCACTTGAATGAACCGAAATTTAAAACTGAAATTAACACAAAAAGGAAACAGTACAATGTTTAAGACAACTAAACAAAAGAAGAGACATTGACGAAAACACTTTCAGAAATAATACACTAGTTGGTTCACACATTCCCCGAACTATAAAGTTGAGCTAAGAAACACAAACTCGGAGCACCTTTGAGACCTATAATGTCAATGATAAACTCGTCGAATTATAAATTGGGTCAGTGGTTATGCAAATTGCTCAAGCCTTGACATAAAGTCTTTGTAAAACACACTATCTTTGACTGATACTATTTCATTCGAACATCACTTCTTTGAAAGGAATTGGTCAACTTCTTGTGTCATTTGACCTATCTTTTCAGAACTGCTCCAGTTATTAAAACCATTGGTTACAATTGTAGAGATGGTGATAATATTCTTATTGCATGGACCGAACTCAGTAAATTGTTGTTTTGATGTACTAAGAGTGTTCATTTCCAATTTATTTATTTTTCCCTATGGTTCCTAGTGGAATATAGGGCTTCAGTAGCACGCCTCCACTGAACCCTCTTCTCTGTAGTCTTTTGAACCTGGCACCACGACTGCCCACAAGCTCTCATTTCTTCCTCACATCATCTCCTCCATCACACACACTCGCCTCGGATGACCAACTCGTCGTTTCCCCTCCGGATTCCACTCGACGACCTGGACTGATGCTTGAAATCCACAGTCGGCCTTCTCAGCGTATGCCCAATTCATCTCCACTCCCTTCCAGTGCATATTTGTTGGGTGATAGGTTCTTGGTTGGTTCGTCACCAGCCAGAGTTCCTTGTTGCTTATTCTTTCTCGTCATCTGATCTGATCTTCAGTATGGAGTGAGGGTAGGCAACAGCTGTTGATGAGTGTCTGTAGTTTGTTGGAGATCCTTTTCGTGACAAGCCAACTTTCTGATCCATATAACAGCACTGACTCGACTGATTCAGTGTTGAAAATCCGGATGTTGTTCACGCTTTATGCTGAGTGAAGTGGAGTAGATCTCCACACTGACTTTGGATTATTGAAGGCCTGTGTTGCTGTCTTTCCGATCCTGGCTTCGGCATCGTCATCTGTGCTTGTGCCGCCTGTAGTTGAGTCGATGCTACTTAGGTAGGTAGGTAGGTAGGTTGGTAGGTGGGTAGGTAGGTGAACGAGACTACTTCCTTTAGGTATCTCCTGTCATTGGTGATTGGTGCCTCTCGTTGTTGACCCTCTAGTTGGTTGGGCATCTTCATCACTTCCGTCTTCTCCACGTTCACCTGAAGTCCCGTTTGCGCTGCCCTACCTCTTCTGTCAACTTGTTATTTTTCACCTGTAGATCTTCGAGTTTGTGCCACATGACATTAGACATAAATCATCATCGTTGACGAAATCCAAATCCTCTTCTGCGATCTTCTCATCGGTCCGGCCCGTGTATGTCCATCTTCCCGCTCCTCACGGTTTGCTGCATGATACAGTCGACCACAATCAAGAAGATCATGAGTGACAGGAGGCAGTCTTGTCTCACTCCTGTCTTCACTTCAAAAGCATCACTGACCTTTCTACTGTGGATCACTTGGCATGTGACGTCTTCGTATAGCTGTTGAATGAGGTTGATAAAGATTAGTGGCAACTGCCAACTTACTTCTCAGTCGACGCTGTCGAAGGCCTTTTCAAAGTCGATGAAGTTGAGGTAGAGGGTTGACTGGCATTCTATATTCTGTTCTATGATGATGCGTAGTGTAGCGTTGCAATTTGATCCGTGGACGATTTGTTCTTCCTGAATCCAGCCAGCCAGCCAGCCAGCCAGCCAGCCAGCCAGCCAGCCAGCCAGCCAGCCAGCCAGCCAGCCAGCCAGCCAGCCAGCCAGCCAGCCAGCCAGCCAGCCAGCCAGCCAGCCAGCCAGCCAGCCAGCCAGCCAGCCAGCCAGCCAGCCAGCCAGCCAGCCAGCCAGCCAGCCAGCCAGCCAGCCAGCCAGCCAGCGTGCCTGCCTGCCTGCCTGCCTGTTGTGGTCGTAATTTTGAATCCAACGCATCTCTCAGTCTCTCCAGGATGATGCGACATAACATTTTGCTTGCGGTGAACAGCAGCATGATTCCGAGCCAGTTCTTGCAAAGGCTTATTTCTCCCTTCTTTGGGAGTTTGACAGGGTAGCCCTTCCTCTTCCAATCGATCGCCAGGTACCTTTCCTTCTGTCTCTGTGTCTGTTTTCAGTGCTTCTGGCGGACTTCCATCTGGTCGTGTTGCTTTCCCGAATTTCAGTAGCTTTATGGCATTCACGACTTCTGCTTTTGTCAGAGGGCCTGTGTTCACTGGTAGTTCTGTGGCTGGGCTGCTGGTGGTATTTTTGGACGAGTTGCAGGTGGTGATGGTGGTCGATTCAGGAGTTTTTTGAAGTAGTCAGCCCATCGTTTCCTTTGTTTCTCCTCTTTGCTAACCAAGTTCCCGTCACTATCATTGGTTTCATCTGTGTTGATCTCTTCCCTCCCACATAGTAACCTGGTCATTTGATATAATGTTGTCAGGTCTCTCTTACCTGCAGCCTGTTCTGCTTCGCTTACCAATGTGTCGTAGAAGTGTCTTTCGTCTCTGCGTGCACTCTTCACTTCCTTGTCCAGTGTTCTATACGTTGTACCCAGTTCTTTTTTAAGTTGTGCATCCTTGCACTGGTTCATCTTCTGCTTCACCATCTTCCTCTCCCTGTTCTATCAGCTCCCATGTGTCCGTCGAGATCCATTCATTGTCTTATTTTCTCTTCTCTTCTAATACGATTATGCAGGTTTCTTTCCACATAACTTACAGAGGGTTCCAGTGTTCTTCCACACAGTTTCCTTCAGGGATGTTGCTCAATGTCTCCCATTTTGTCCTGATGACTGACGTGAAGATGTCCTTAATAGTTTCATCCTTCAGTTTCTGTTCTGGGTGTTGAACTTGAAATGTGGTCTATCACCAACTTCTTTGAAGGCTTTCAACTTGATTTGGAAGGTGCCTTCCACTAGATAGTGAATGGTCTGAACCTATATTTGCTCCTCTTCTTGATTTTGTGTCCAGTAGACTGCGTCTCCACTTTCTTGAGACTGAAATGAAGTCGATCTGATTTTTAGCGTGTTCTGGTCAAATCTATGTTGCTTTGTGAATATCCTTGTGTGTACACACTGCCTTTAATCACCAAATCACGAAGGCGCAGAAGCCTGCAAACAGTTCTCCATTCTCATTCATTTCACCCAGTGCCTCTCGACCCATGATGAGTTCTCTTCCTGTGTTGTCTGCTCCACGCAGTTTGGCATTCATGTCACCCACTAGAATTTTGATGCCGCCAACTGGAGTCTTGTCCAGTGTTGATTGCAGTTGTCTATAGAATTCTTCCTTCTTCTCTTGGTCTGCATTATTTGTAGGTGCGCAGCGTAGCATTCATTGTATGATTGTAACTTTCCTTTCTTTTGAGTTGGATCTTGCTGTCATGATCCTGGAGGAGATTGGCTCACCACTGCATGAGAGACTTCGATGTTCTTGGGGACATCATGATAGCCACTCCCTCAGTGTGCTCGTGGTTGTCGTCTGGAAGGTAATATCGGAGTAGATTATTGACTCTCCAGTTAACAATTTGAAGAGTCCACTTACATTCCGTCTGCTTTCGCAGATTCTAAGCACTTGCATTCCATCCTTCCTTATTTCTCTTGCAATCTGGGCAGCTATGGTAGGGTCATGCATTACGCGGACATTCCATGTCCCAATTCTTATTTTCTTTTTCATCAAGAGAAGACATATTGGCTGACTGGTCAGTTATTTCGTCAAGTTGTTGGTATTGTAATGGGAATTCCCTTAAGCCCTCTCTTTGCCGATTTGTTTAGAGTCTTGCCTAGAGTCCGGTCACACAATACCATGCATGAAACAGTTGGAAGTTAGCCAGCGGTACATGGATGACATTTTTATTGTGTGCATGAGGAAACTGGCAATGGAAGCAATGTTTTGGAAGTTCAACTAGTGTAATCCAAATCTTAATTTTACAGTAGGCCAACAAGAAAATGATACAACTAGATTCTTAGAAACCTGGCAAGTGAAAGAGATTGAGAGGTATGTAAAACAGTTCCGTGGTGAACTGTCTTTACAACTGTATAGACGTCGCTGTACATCAATTTACCATTTGAGGGAGATAGTGTGTGTGGTGCGGTCAACCAGAAGTTTGATGTAACAATCAGATGATTTTACTGTGCTACAAAACCAATGTTTCATAGAACATCAAAGAAGGTTCTACAGCAGTTCAACACTTCTAACTCACTGTTTAGTCTGAATAAACAACCACTGCAGCTTAAAATTGGAAGGCTAATTGCCATATGATTTTATCCCACAAAAGGAACTAAAACATTTTGTCATTTCTTCTATGTAAGATCTTCATTTGTTAGCAAGAAAAATCGAAACTTGGGTTTTCTTTGAATTATGCAAAGGATTTCATTTATTAGTTACGGAAAGTAATATTTTTGTGACGAAATTGCATAGATTTTTCCTTATATATTCATTCTCAGTGTATGTGAATAATGTTTTCTAAAAGAGTAGTAGAGATAAGCCTAGGACTAAGAACTAGGCAGCAAAAGTTGTGTAATATGTAGACATCATCGAAATGGAATTTATTTCAGGTTTTTGGTGAGTTCATGAGGTGTTGCACTTGTAAAAAGTGAAGTTTAATACAGTTACTACGTTTACATATTAGGTTTAAGGATTTCTTCTTCTCAAAGGACTCAGAGTGATTTATCCGCTCTTGAATTTGTGAGCAGCTGTACTATTGACGTAAATCTTCCTATTTCAGGAATCAGGATGATTCATTTTGTTCATTTGTCAGAGTTAATAAACTATGGTGGAAATCGATCTTTATTCGGCGGCCTGCTTGAACCCTGGGGTACCAAATTTATCCACCGAACACTTTTCGTCAAATTCTTTCCTTTCAATTTGTTTTAATCATTTGAATATGTCCTTTGAACTTATCATGTACTCCGGCACACTTTTCAACCGTTTTCAACTCTCGTTTCTCAAGTCAGTAACAAAGCAGGGAAAAGGACTTTTCGGTGCAAAAAGGTACATCATATTTCTATCCGTCAGATGCTTAACTTGAGTTGCAGATTTTTGCACCGCCTGAATGAACCACCACCAACAACAAAATTACGCTTGCATTTCTGTTGATTCTTCATTATGGATCGGACGCCCATTCAGAACCAGTTGGCTATTTCACATGATTGCCTTGAATGCTGTTATTATTAACATCATTCCGATGTAATGACCGTTTCGTCTAAAAGTATTGTTCTGGGAGTGAATTTGTTGAGAAATTACATGCTGAAAATTCCACGCTGTCATACATATTGTTTGGAATAAAACGACTGTTACTATTATTATTATCCGTCTAGCTGATATTGCTCAGTATTTCTAAATAGCTGCATTCTTTTTTCGTGCTGAGTGTTTATTAGGAACGATAATCATGGGTGACATGCCGTATTATATTTTGTGATGCACATTGCATAACAGAAAGTAGAAATATGAATGTGGTTGTTAATGATTTTTATTAAAATCACTGGATTAATGTTACAAAACAGAAAACTATTTGCAGTTTGCTGATTAACCATATATGTGGTCCTGTCAGTCACTGCTTGGTGGTCTGAAATAAATTCTTAAAATTAAGAGCCATACAAAGGATAGTAATAAGGTATCGTTTTGAGTTCTGAGTGACTGCCAGTACTTTTCTGTGAAATACTCATTTACTTCATTAGTTCTAATACTACTGACTTCGCTCACCTTGGCATCTAGGACAGCAGAAAGGATCCCATACTACCATCTCTTCTGTTGGACAAGATAATTCGGATAACGGTGTACAATAATCAAAACAGTTCCAACGACCATTGACACACTGACATTTTTGATCAACACATACTCCAGACAGGGTAATCATTTCACCATGTGAATGTAAAGTTTCAACTCCTGATTTTAAGCAACTTGCAAATTCAAACGTTGCATTTTTTGGCACTAAGACAGGAAAAATAAAACCGTAAAAGTATGAATCTCGAACGAATTATTATGCAATATGACTAAAGAAGAAATATATTTTTATCTGATATCATTCAAAAGCCTCACGTTTCGTTCAGATATTTGCTGGGATCTGATTTATTTCAAGGTCGTATTCATCATGAACAGATATGAATGGCTCTCCAACTGATGTCAGTCTGTGATGAATATCATCACGAAATGAATCAGTCCCTACAAACCTTTAAAATGAAATATTGTACAATGCTCATTAGTAACGTGCTTCAAGATGGGATTTCCCGTAGTTCTAGTGAGAAGTCGTCACCGGTGGGGCAAACCAAGTCGGATATGAGGACAAATACTCAGGCATGCCACTGGATGAATTTCACACCATATCGGGAATTGACAGAAGTACGAAAGTGGACTCCGGGTCAGTGGCTGGATAGTGATGTGCCTGCCACGGATCCCATGGGTCTTGGGTTTTTAACGGTTCTCCAACTGATGTCAGTCCGTCGTGCATATTACCCCTAAATTCATTTCTATTACAGTTACATTAATAATTCAGTGAAATAGTAGTTATTCATATTTAGTTTCATTGGTCATCATTTTTGAAGTTTCGTCGATAAACTATCCTAATGGATTTTAAATACCGCTTCTTTTTCGACTCCTTAGACTGTTGCATTAGCTTTGAATAAACTTCACTAAGTTGAGTTTATGTGACCAGCGCAAGTGGAAAAGGTTGTTTTTCCACCTCACCAGGGATCATCACGTTTACGTTAGCTAGTTTTTAATTGAGCTAAATGTTAACTGTTTTACTTACATAACAGTCACTTGTCTTTGTTCATGCATTTAGGTTCTGTTTGTGAATTACCTTTTCATTATAACTTTCAAGTAAAATAAATTTGTTTTGTTGCTGTCGTTGTTGAGAAATGAAATGTATAAAAACTTTAAACTACAAGGGTTTTATGAGAAATTTTATGTAAATATGTATTTAGTGGGCTAGTGAATACCACAAGAAGGTAGTTAGGTTCCTTTTATCCGTGTCAGATATATATATATCTTCCACTCTGATATTTCCTTTGGATAGTAATAAAAGGGTTTTACAGTGAAGTTTGTCAAAGATGCATAAATTACGTTGCTTTACTTTAGGAAATCAAAGTTTAAAGTCAGAGGCCACTGAGATGAAATTTTGTCAGTAGATTTAACAAATAAAAGGTAATAAAAGGCGTTCAGAGGTGTCTTGAGGTTTGTTTTTACATTTTAACAAAAATGTTACGAATTCGAAGTGTTAGCCGTCCAATGAGTTATCTACCTGAGGCCACTTGTTCTCTAAGTCTATTTCTTAACGATTGTATCCATTAGAACTACCTTTTATCCACGAGAACTCTGTATTAAGAAAAGAATCATATGTTATGTCAACAGAGACAATCGCCCCAAATCTGAGGATAAAATTGATCTATTTTGATGGATATCAAGTGTCAAATATTTTGAACTGAATTAATTCCTTCATTTTACTCTAAATGTATAATTCAAGGTTAATTCAAGGATTTCAGGGTGGCTTTCCAAATACTTTGTTGAAATGGTGTTGCGAACAAACGTAGAGAGCAGGTACTCACACTTTTAAAAAAGACTGTGTTTATGAACTCTGATTTCAGGGGTTGTATGGTAGCTAGAATCCTGAAGAATTGGTTGTCCAGAGCACTGGAAAAAACATCCTTATCTACCAAACTGCAGATTGTATTCTGCAATCGATAAGTAATTCATAAATGTATCCAGGACAACAATTGCTTTGGGCCACCTCAAGGTGTATCCGCAAGTTCACTTGTTTTTATACAGCCCGTCACATTAGCCACACAGTGTGTACTTTTCAATCGCGCATCCAAACATTACTCTGCATGGTTGTCGAGAGGAGAGTGTAAATAGATTTCTTATTTGGCTCCCGGACATCTAGGCAATTTCAACAATGAAACTCCACCATAGTCTACCCTCGAAACTGTCTGAAAGGTCAAAGGAAACAGTTTAGAGGAGGTACGGTTTACCAATATGTGGACAGTTAAGGCACTGGCCGGATCTTTTGTACAACATTTTGTCCAGTCTCTCATTCTGCCATGATCTTTATCACTCTTTTTTGTTCCAATTGGCTATAACTGACTAGTTCACCACTATTAACTTCCCCTAGACTTTTCCTTCTTCTTCTTCTCACCTTCCTCACACTTATCACCTGGGATCTCGACTATCCTGCTTCACATCTATAAACGGTTTACACCTTATAGAATTCTGCATCACTTTCACTATCTTTTGAATTGTTACCTGTTTTCTTTTCATTTGTAGACTCTGAATGGAAAATTATGGTAGTGACGCATTCAACACAATACGGTTGTATCTTTGTTATTGATAAAAACACGACTGTAGAGCCTTAGAAGACGACAATATCGTATAGGAGAATTTTCCCTTCTGATTTGCAATTTCTTCACTTCATGACTTAGTAGGGATCTTTTGTCGTTTGAAGTGGAGTAAATGCTCCCCGAGCAGTGAAAGAACTTAATGGGTTTATGCAGTTTTGTTAAACATGCCGTAATAAACTGGAACGTGTTCTTATATATGTCGTAAGACTTTCAAAGAAAATTTTAAAAAAGAGACTGGAGGCTTGTTTTTTCTTGCTGTTTCTCATTATAATTCTTTATAATAATGTTGAATCAGATAGAATAGTTTCATTTTACAGTTTAAGTCATTATCGAATTAAGTTCCAACTAGAGCTGTAACTAGAATTCCATTGAAGAATGATCCGCTGTTGTGTACTGTAATCTACAGGTTTGATACTGCATCCAGTTTCAGGCAATCCAATTCGTATTAAGAATCCAGTGACTGGATACAGTTGTCATATTCTGAATGTTTAGGTTATTGCCAATCTAGAGTATCGATGAAAGCAACACTATCTGATTAGTTTCAAATATGAAGTAAGCACCTTGAACAGCAGCGTCAACCACCATTTCATAATATTCGAATGTCAACAGAGGGAACGTTGACTAGTCCGTGGAAGAAGTCGTTATATCAAAGAGGACCGATGTACTTAGTACAGTAAATCAGTAATAAATATTACAAGAAACAGTATCAACACACAAAAATTGTGCAAAGAAGTGGTTATTGTTACTTAGTATTCTGATAGATGATGGTCTGATGTATGATAATATCGATTTTAAGATGAAGTCTTACTGGAAATCTTTGTATAGGTCCAGCTGTAGCCGGTTGATGGTAACCAAAAAGAATAAAATGCTGGTCCATTTAGTAAATCCTTCACTACCGTACGTATTATATGGAAGTTTATGTTTGCGATCAAAAGCTGTAAATTTTAGTGCATCAAGAAGACTATTTCATTAGAAAACTGATATACTAGAGTGGTTGTGATTTTGCACATATATTATTGCTTACTCCGGTTATTCAACATTAATCTAGGACCTAGAATTAACACATATCAAAGTCACCATTTCAGCACAATAAGATACAGTACGGCAAGATGAAAGACATAGAAATGAAAAAAATATATGGAGCCAAAATTGGCCTTAAAACAATAACTATTTCATAGCTGGATAGCCAGTCTGGTGTTGCATCTAGTGAACAGTGCTGTGCAATTTTTAACTTGTAATCTCGTCAAAGTCATTCTTTGATTGCTTGGAACAGCGGGTTTTACTCTTTATTCAAGGATGTCTTGTTTTCATACTAAAAAAGATATTTGTATGATGAAGACTGTAAAAATGATTCATTTCCTTGCAAACTAGTTAATTGAATATGAATGCATTGTTCTTAGGTGACTAGCTTTCGAATGGCTGTCTTCAAGTTCTAATAGTAGGTGTAACTTATAGAAATAAACAACTAAGATATGAGGAAGGATACGCCTCGGGGGTATCGGATGGCAATGGATATGTATCTTTAAAAAGGTGGAGTTGAGAAACGTTGACCTTAGAACTAAAGGTAAATGGAAAGCAACACCTAGTTATTGCTCCGTTGTCACCATTTGTCAAGCTGTTACTATTCTATGCTGAGTATTCCATACATGTTAATTTGATTTATATGCTTGTGACTAGTGAGATAATCAAAATGCTTATATTAGTTAAACCAAACGGTTTCATCAGTACAAAAATCGCATCTTTTGGCTTTGCAAACACCAAGTACTTTGAGTTCTGAAGAGACGGACTTGTAGTTGTGTGTTCTCATGCATAAGTTTCAAATTTATCATTTTGGCTTTATGTATGCGAATTGAGTAGATAATGTACTGCATGCATCTTGGCCGTCATTTTTGTGCAATATTATGCTTCACCTTTTAGAAAAGCAAGAATTCGTTCATTGCAACACCTCAGTAACTTAGGAATCTTAAAAACCATTTAATAAAGGAGTGATAATCTAGAAAAAAGGTGAAGTGGTATATTTTTCATTTACCTGAACCTTTACAAACAGTGTGACAGCATGGACCGGTGAGTAAACTATATTGACCAGGTAAACATATTGATGGACACTGGTGAGGTTCACCAACACAGTGAACTTTTCCATGTTGGCATTTGCATTTTACACAGGGTTGTTCAGCAGACATCCATATATCTTTGTGTTGATAGTACGTTTTAGTTACTGCATAATAGCAAGCTGGAGTAAAGGAAATGAAATAGTATGCATCACGTTTGGTAAATTTAAAAAAAATATATGGGTTGGTAAAAAATGCATTATTGTCTTCAGTAGTTATTTGTGGTTTGTCAACGCAGTGAAAGGTATGTCTTTGTGCAACAAAGGTATCAATTATGCGAATATATAATTGCTTTCAAACACAGGTTCTCTTGGTTCTTACCGTTACTGTAAGTCTTTTCGCTGAAAAATTACATTTTAGAATTTAATTTAATTAATATAAATGTAACATGGTAGAAGAAATTAGCGGAAATCTCCACCCCTTTTCTATACCAAGTAGCCTCCGCCTTTGGGAAATAATCTTAATAATGATATGATGATAACAATGGCATATGAACCTGCTTTATTTCGTTTTATAGAAAAAGCACTTACTGTTAGCCTCTGCGGGTTGTAACTAAATTCCTGCCTAAATGAAACGAGCTTTCGAGTTGCTCCACAGATTACCGTAGATCTAATTATTAGCTGTTCAATGGTACCAGAACAGTTAGCAGTCCTCTTTCGAATTTCAGATATAAAAATTTTTTTTCTCAGCTGAAAGACACTGATGATAAGTGTTAGAATGACTGACAAACTAAGGTACAACCTCGCATACAAGTGCTACGCCACATTTGGAACACAAGGAACAGGTGGGTGGAAAAAGAGTGATATAAAAATCGACGTGGTTGTGTGACAGAATCAACATTTTTAAGATAACAGTTATTGCAAATATTCAATCTTTAGATTTCAAGGAGTGAATACATCTACGCCACTGTGACTGATTTTCAGGCTTTCTTTCGTTTCGTCTTGAGGAGCTCAATTAGGCAGTCTACATCTCCCTACATTTCTTGGACTAGTGGCAAGAGACTTTTTCGAATGGTGCCACGTCTTGTTCTGGTCGACCTGAACTCTTTTCCAACCCAATCCAGCCTCCAAAAACATGGCACGCAGAGGCAGGCCGTGGCTCTGCATGTTCGGTACATATCCAAGCCATCTCAGTCCACTAAGGTTCACAACATCATCAGTCAGGTTACATATCTAGTAGGAAATGTGAATGCATGGTGTGCTGTTAATCTTCTAATATAGCCAGGTGGAGGGATTCTTAGATGAAGGAAGATTTTTGACAATTTTCTATTCTACAGAGATGTGGTGTGAAGTAAAAATAGGCTTTCTTTTTACTTCAGTAAGAGAGAAGATGCTTTTTTGTACTTTAAGTCAAAATGGTCCGTAAGGCCATTCTAGAATATCATTTCAGAAATTCCAAATATCTGTTACATTTAACTGTAGAATATCCTGATAATCATGAAACTGTCGGAATAGTTTTACGTTTCCTACCCATAAATGCAGTGTAAATACCATTGAGTCTTTACACAAACTCTAACCATTAGATATACTTTGTCTGTTGTATACTTGGTTTGTACAAGTGTAGCATCCTATTGAATACTAATCTTTGGTAAGGGAACTCACTATTCGAGATTAAATGAGAAAAATGTTTCATTCTTATAACTATAACAGTATATATACCTATAGTTACGTTCATTCTGTGCGCTTGGTTGATATTTATTGTGCCTAATTCGTTTGGATTACAATGATAAGCTATTTAGCTGGGTATTACAAGACTAACCTGGTAGAAAACAAGTGAATTCATTTTATAAAGTGATAAGTCGGCAAAAATTAATTAGATTTAGTAGATCGTTATATTCACAGTGAAAATAAGCTAACAGAATTAGATATGGATCTGTAATATTCTTCACTGCAATGATTGAAATATTTGCAAAAATTCAGACATCTAAAGATTCCTATAACACTAATAAAAAGCAACCGTCTGGACGAAGAATACCGTTTTCAATAAATTGTCATCAGGTTCTACAATTATGAAATGCATTTGTACAGTGTGAAATCAGGCCAAGTTAGTTATAAATACATTTTCAATAAGACTAGCCAAACCTGAACTATGCATTCAGAAAGATCACGTTCAAATGCCATTTCTCCCCTGATCTTCAGTAAACTAAAGGCCACTTCTGTCTTGTTTATGCCTTGTCTTTTCGTACGCCACCAGATCATTCACTTGGCATATATGTCATCTCAACACCGAAAAAATTATTTTAAAAAAAAGTCGATTTCCTTACACTCCTTATATCTCACTCCTAAACTTAGTTTGATTTTGCGCTGTACATATGCATTTTATAACTGTAGAATCTAATGAGAACTTATTGAAAAGAATAGTGTTCCTTCAGATTGTTGCCTTTTATTTGCAAAACTAAACGAAACTATATGACAAAAACAGGTCACATACTACTAAGAACTGTAAGTATTTTGTTCTAGTTTTTTCTAAAACCAGGTAACAAGTAAATGTCATTTGAATATGTAGGCAGATAAATTCCATGCAGTGTCTACATCTTAGTTCTTAAATTCATCATCTGATTCGCTATTATTTTTTGTTTGTATTTATTGACACCACTGTAATAGCAAGTAACTCCTCAAAATCAGTACTCTAGGGTTCAAAGAGATTCAACATTGATACTGACCTTGATAGTTTCAGCAAATTGCTTAAGCTAAAAGCACACGGTCAAACATCTATGCCCTTTGAAGCGTTGTCATGTTACGTTGCGTTGCTCGTACGTGATCCTCAAGTTAGTTAGTCAGAATACATCGGTATTTTGACATGGTCTAACAGACATGCTATTCATATCTTGTTACCCAGTTGTGTTCTTTCTTGGTTTCGCACACATGCATATTCTAAAGACACAAGTAATTAGTGATCGGTTTCTGAATTTGCCAAGTTTGCGTAAGGATAATTCCTAAGCTACATTTGTGTTTCAGTCATCTAGTCAAGTAAAGCACGTAAGTTAAGGTAACACATAGCAGCCGTTTTAGTAACACCATAATATGTCTTTATAATTTTGTCTATTTTACACTATGTAAACGAATGAGTATTTTGTCCAAATGATGGTCATCAAATAAGGATCATGTAAACAAGAAAAGAAGTGGGGTGAAAAATACAAGCAAGCAAAAATCCCATCCAGAGATGCTGTAGAATTTTATTTTACTTAGTACATTTGTTTGTTTTTTACTTTAAGTAATATCGACATAACTTGTAAAACGCATCTGCATGTGATACGAAAATGAATTTTGAGGAAAACTTAGGGTGTATTTGTAACGCAATTCCAGTGTGAATGTCAGGTTCTTACAAACTTTCAAATATATACTGATACCTAGTAATATGTGATGCTGAAGAAAGTTGCAGCTATACTGCTAAACTACTTAATGTTGTGAAACACTGGTTTCCAAATGGTTGACTTAATGGTGATAGAGTATGGTTTTAAAGGTTGGTGGATATAATGATTGGTCATTGGAATGCAACCAATCTCGTGTTGTCTAGTCCTGAATGTCGACCGAATTCTGTCGACCATTTTGCAATGTCGCCACCAAGCTAGGAGGCACATCACTGTGGTGCACTTTGATTGATGTCAGTTGGCTGAAGGTGATTCAATTGTCTCCAAACAACGGACGTCGTTACACGTTTCTGATGAACCCTATAAAATTTGATCTTTAGGAGTTCTTCAACCTGCCTCAATGTATTATATTTCATTATGTATATATATATATATATATATATATATATATATATATATATATATGCTTAACAATAATTTTATTTCAAGGTACTGTTGTATTGTGTCAGTGGTACCTTTGTTTATCTATATTATATATGTGAATATGTCTGTTGAAACAATATGTATCACATTAACAGAAATAACAAGCCACCCATACTCCTGAGGAAAAAGATATTAAGACTTTTCATTTATTTACTAAGAGTTTAGGTCGAGAAAAATTCAATCTATTTGAGTATTGTTTTTCTGTGTGTGCTTATAAAGTTATTAAGTGCTGATTCTAAATATATGTGAAAAATAATCTTAGTCTTGCGATTACGTGAAGTCTACTATCACTTTCATATGATAAATTACGCTGCTATATAAAAACTGAAAAAAATTGTTAGTTGTTAAATGATTCCGCAAGGTTGCATTGGGTTTGGCCTTGTGATGATGGTCGTAATTTTCGACCAGAATAATTAATCTCAGCGAAGCTTAATGCTTATAAGAGCCACATAGCAGCCTACTTGGAAGTTAGGCTACCTAATTTTCTCACTGAATACATTGCATCAAATGACTGATTACTTTATCCCAATCATTAAATTACTTCCTCCAATCGTGTTATACAATCTCTTGCATTCCTAAAATTATTCCAACGTAACACTTCTGAAGTTGAAATAAAAATTTTGAAAAAGCAGCATGATAGATGGCAAATGGCTCTTAAGCGCACAACCAGAGATCAAATGACTATATCGGAAACAATTAGCACAAATTACAGGTTTTTACCGAACTAAGTTGGCTACCTTCAGTCATTCTTATCCACAAATTTTCATCGTAATATTGCCAAAAAATGGCTCCATAATCTCTATGACGATAATTTGGTTAATTTAAATGTTTTCAGGTTGCTTCTACAAGATCTATGTATTTCAAAGAGGAAGGGTGGTGGAATTACAGCAACATTTATCATTACAAGTTTGTCTACCTCCAATATTGGATTCTTCGGCTTCTACTACGACAAAATTGATCGCATTACAGTTAAGTGTCATCCTAAACGTTTTAGCAAATACATATGTATTTATATAAACATTTACGTCACATATAACTGCAGCTTTTTCTGATTTATCAATTACCACTGGTGAATTCAGTGAATTTTCTGTCTCCATTCTCCATTTTCTGTCTCTTTGTGTATAGCCTGTAGAGATTTTGATCTATATGACTCTCGTTTTCTTTTATCGTTGGGTCATGAAAAAGTGCTTAACCATTTCGCTCGTCTTGACACAACACTAGATTTAGTTTTTACAAATGAGTCTGGCTTGTAAAAAGTCCGTAGACGAACCCCGCTGCTAGATTCTGACCACTGCCTTTTATGTGTTTTGCTCAAGATGTATGACAACT